TCCTCAATTGGTGTCAAGCTTAATGGTCATAATCATTATCCCCTTTTAATTTATGATTATATATTACACAATGCTCTTACTCGATCTCACACCCTCATTTAGAAATTTTACATTTGATCTTTAACATCAAACTCTCCTTATCAGTAATAAAGGGCTTTAGTTTATTTCTACCTTTTGGGATTAATATCTTTCCTTCATTCAAGGAAGTTATAAACTACTATATTTAGACTGATGGGTTATACTATTCAAACTTTTGAGCAATATCTTTGATGCTATATTTCCTATTAACAAAATGATTGAGTTGATTCACTTCTTTCTACTAAATTTGCTTATAATAATTTTTAGCATTCTTTAATGCTTCACTCTTCATTCTTTGTTAATTATAGCTTTCATTATCATCGATTATTTTTATTTCCTCTAGCATTTTATCTCATATTGATTTTATTACTGCTCTTGTTGTTGCTTTAAATTCTTTTCATCACTATCACCTTTTTCATACCCAAACTTCTCATCACTATATTACTAATTATTCTTGCCAACTTAATCCTTATCTTCAAAGTTGGATCAGATTATCAACATGTAATTGCCAACAATAACCTTTACAGGAAGTGGTTGTGAAATATAAGTGGGCTCACAAAAAGTGTGATAAGTATTTTTAATTTTACCTTTAATGTTATGGCAAAATCTAGATTTTTGTACAAAATGTTTTTTCAACTAGCCTATCTCCATGCCAACCTTGGTTTCCATAAAAAAATCAAAATGATGTTTTGGCAGCCAATGGAATGCTTTCCTTGCTATTGGACAAGGCTAGGAAAGACATAAATGCGAGAAGTTGTGCTCCCCTGGTTTGTGTGAGAGCGGCATTGCAGGGGGAATGTAGACACGTTAACACAATGAAATTCAAGGGGAGATTTGCAGATTCGCTCAACACCTCGTGGATAAAGCCTGGTGTAGAGAAGCTACATGGTGGCACAGCCGATGGTGGTCCAATAACTTTCAGCTGGTTTCATGCGAGTCAGAGTCAGAAAGTCACGAGGGAACAGGTACAAGGGTGTCTGCTCAGTGGGTTACTTTCTTTCGATGGAGAAGCGATGATAGTGTACTCACGATAAATTCTTCATGTTTCTTAATTCTTTTGAACGCCATTACTAACAAAATGGCACAGGGTCCTGTAGTAGAACTGGAGCATGGTGGAGATGTGTGATTCCCAGCTTCAGGAGTAGATATAGTAGACTTTTCTTTTGCAAAGTCACTGAATGTTTCATTTTTTTTTCCAGGTGTGACCCATCCCTCCCGCTAACCAGGAGGAACTAGAACGGTCCGAGCTCTCAGCTCTATAGATTTGCCATCCAGTACGGCTTGACACATTCAAGAACAAGTATAAAAAGCTAATATGCATCAGGTACAGCTGCTGCTGCTCAGCTGAGGGAAGCTCAAAAAAAATGTAGCAAAACAAAAATGACTTAAAATGTAGCAAACAAAAAAAAAAGAATTTATTTTATGCTAGAGCAGCAACTTCGTGTTGAGAGGGCGACCATGTTTTCATGGCCAACTGCCCGGCCTCACTCGTGATGAGCACCGTGTCCTCCTCCTTGAAGTCGCCCCTCAAAATCCCTTTGGCCAGCTCGTTGGTCACGTACTGCTGGATCACTCGCTTCACCGGCCTGGCGCCATAGTTTGGATCATATCCAAGCTTGGCAAACACCTGCACCGCATCGTCCGTGATCTTCAAAGAGATCTTGCGGTGTTGGAGTCTCTTCTCCACGTTTTGCAGCTAGAGAAAAAAAGCCAAAGATCATAAACTGCCTGATCGCAACAACACAACTTACCTGGAGCTTGACGATGTTTTGGATCTGATCCACGTCCAGGGGCTGGAACACGATGAACTCGTCCACCCTGTTCATGAACTCTGGCCGGAAGGTGGAGCGAGCCACTTCCATCACCGTCTCCTTCATCGCCTGATATGCCGCCTTCTTGTTGCCCGACGATTTGAGAGCGTCGAGGATGTGCTGCGAGCCGAGGTTGGACGTCATGATCACAACCGTGTTGGTGAAGTTCACTGTCCGGCCCTGGGAGTCCGTCACGCGGCCATCGTCGAGTATCTGGAGGAAGATGTTGAAAACGTCCCCGTGAGCCTTTTCGATCTCGTCGAAGAGAACCACCGAGTAAGGCCGCCGGCGGACGCTCTCGGTCAGCTGCCCGCCTTCTTCGTATCCCACGTATCCCGGAGGTGCGCCAATGAGCCGGGACACGGCATGTTTCTCCATGTACTCGCTCATGTCGAATCTCAGCAGCGCTTTGTCCGTGTCGAACAGGTACTCGGCTAGAGCTTTGGCCAGCTCCGTTTTCCCGACTCCAGTCGGTCCCATAAACATGAAGCTGGCGATAGGACGGTTTGGATCCGATAGTCCAGCCCTGGAACGTCGTATAGCATCGGCCACGGCTTTCACTGCGGGGTCTTGGCCGATCAGGCGCTTGTGCAAGTGATCGTCGAGTTGGAGCAGCTTCTCCATCTCGGACTGGAGCAGCCTCGAGACTGGAATTTTTGTCCACTTGCTGACTATCTCGGCGATGTCGTCGGCAGTGATCTCCTCTCGCAGCATTGTTTTCTCGGACTTTCTGTACGTTGCAAGCTCGCCCTCGGTCTCTTTAAGTTGCTTTTGCAAGTTGATGAGGACGCCGTATTTGAGCTCGGCAGCTCTGTTAAGGTCGTAGTCTCTCTCGGCCTGTTGGATTTCGAGATTGACACGATCAATCTGCCAAGCACAAGCACAAGTTTGATTCCTGTTTTACGGTAAAAAAAATGAGGAAAACATGTGTACCTCTTCTTTGCACGAGTTGATGCGTGTCATGATCGACTTTTCCATCTCCCATTGCTGCTGCAATGCCTTTTGCTTCTCTTTGAGAGATGCTAGCTCTGCTTCTAGCTTCTGCAGCCTCTCACGGGATGCTTTATCATTGTCGTGCTCAAGAGACAACCGCTCCATCTCCAGCTTGATGATAGCCCGATCAATCTCGTCTAGAGCAGTCGGTTTCGACGTCCTCTCCATCTTTAGCTTTGCGGCGGCCTCGTCAACAAGATCAATGGCTATGGTACAGGTAAAAAATAAGTAATCCAGGAGATGAGTTACGAAATTGATATACCTTTGTCGGGTAAGAAACGGTCGCTGATATAACGAGAGGAAAGCAGAGCAGCCTCAACTAAAGCGTTGTCTGAGATTTTTACTCCGTGGTGAAGCTCGTATTTCTCTCGCAAACCACGAAGAATGGATATCGTATCTTCCACGGCGGGCTCGGGGACATAAACTTGCTGGAATCGTCTTTCCAGAGCTGCATCCTTCTCAAGATACTTGCGATATTCCTTAATTGTCGTGGCACCAATGCACCTCAATTCACCACGGCCCAGCATTGGCTTTAGCAAGTTGCCAGCATCCATTGCTCCCGAGGTCGCACCTAAAAAAAACAGGAGTACCATGTATGCAGTCGTAAATGCAAAGTTGCAGACACAAATTACCTGCACCGACGACCATGTGGATTTCATCGATGAAAAGAACAATGTACCCCTCCGACTCCTTCACTTCTTTCAGAACAGCTTTCAATCGGTCTTCAAATTCTCCTTGAAACTTCGCTCCTGCGATCAACGCTCCTAAGTCCAGTGATATCAGCTGCATTTGAACAATGGTAAAATGAAATAATGGTTCTGCTAGCGGCATAAACATACCTTCCGGTTGGCAAGGGCCTCGGGTACGTCTCCTTGAACTATACGCTGAGCAAGACTGGAAAGAATGGCAGGAAGTCAAAAAGAAGCAAACAAACGACTTCCATACCCTTCTGCTATAGCAGTCTTGCCTACACCAGGCTCTCCAATCACCACAGGATTGTTCTTGGTTCGCCGGCACAATATTTGAATGCACCGTCGAATTTCGTCATCGCGACCAATAACCGGATCAAGCTTTCCCTGGCGGGCCATCTCCGTCAAATCCACTCCAAATTTCTCTAATGCCTCGTACTTGTTTTCAGGGGCTGGAACAGGAAACAAACAACGAGAGTGTTGAAACAATTTACAAAGAAAACAACGAACCTTGATCAGTAACCTTCTGTGACCCTCGGATGGCATTGATCGCATCTTTAGTAGCCTTGGCATTGAGACCGAACTGCCCAAACAGCTCCTTCCCAATGCGAATGTCTTCCGCGAGTGCAAGAACTAAATGCTCGATTGACGTGTAAGTATCTCCAAAATCGTCCATGTGAACCTTGGCTCGATCAAGCAAGGTTTCAAGACTCTGGCCGACCATAGCACCGGATATGTTTCCTGTCACCTACATCCGAAGGAAATAAGAATGTCTGCATGTAGAGAAGGAAAAACTCGTCCGAGGTAAATACCTTGGGCTGCCGCTCAATGTATCGCTCAGTAGCTTGCAAAAGAGCCGAATTATCAATCCCGGCCTTGGTGAAAATCCTTCGAGCAAGCCCATTCTTTTGCTCCAGCAAAGCCTTGAGAAGATGCTCGGTTTCCACAACCTGTTGTCTGCTAGTTTGCGCCACTTCCACGGCCGAAACCACAGCTTGCCAAGCCATGTTTGTGAAATCCTTGGCAGAAAGCTGCTAAGAAAGAAAGAGAAGAAACTCTTAAGAGAACTAAGAAAGAGAACACTCACAGTGACCGGCGATTCCAAGCGTGAGGTGCCATGGAAACCTCGCCTGTGATCCAGCGACCATAGGACGCCTCGCCGGTAGAGACTGTCAGACCAGAATCGGGAGGAAACCCTGTGCGCGGCAATACCTCTCCCGAAATCATCTACCTCTGCAATCGATCCTGTGTGATTTCTAGAGCTAATTGACACCAGATTTCGCGAGGCGCCAATACATCGAGCCTGTGGCAGCAGCTCCTCAGCCGCTCGCAGCGCTCGCCCGAGCGCTCGTCCCTGCATTGCCAAAACCCTAAACTCTCATCACAAGGTGGAGTAGCTAGCAAGAAAATGCTAGAGGTTTCTGGAGGGTTTTACACGTAGAATATTCTCTTAAATTAACTCAAGAAATTACAGAGATAAAAAATGTTCCAATCGATTCAATCGAGCGATTTAACTGCATCGATCTTTTCATCGATCGCAATTCGGGAAAATTTACAGAGATGGAGAAATTCGCTTCGGCAACGTTGTTTCAATCGATTCAAGCGATTTTACTGCATCGATCTTCACTTGTGACAACAAAAAAACAAACGAGAAAAAGAATCACTCACCTCAAGTTCTTCTTTTCTGCTTGGAACATCGATCCAAATCTAAAGAGCTCGCAGCGGCACTGATCCTGTCATGCTAGACCGTCACGAAAATCAGTACAAACCATCGATCGAACAAATCATTCTCACCTTCAATAGTCCCACTCACGATAAAACGCTATGGCAAACTCCTGTTCACGAAACTTGGCTTCCTCCACGGCAACTCTCTTGGCAGCCTTGGAAACGATCTTCTTCTTTGGCTTTGGCTTGGAATTCGCCTCCTCCACTGCCTGCCCTGTATCAATCTTCTTCTCTTTCTTCCTCCTCTCGGCCCCAATCCCCCGCTTATCGAGCTTCTGATGCGTTTCTAGCGGATTTAGCTGCCCTTGCTCCGCAACACCGAGTCCGGTGCCCTCTTTCCATCCCGCCTTCTTCAGGAGCTACAGACGATCAAACAAGAACAATCGATCAAACCGACCTCCAAATCCCTGCGTAAAACGCATACCTGGAATCCGATGTTAGAATCGGAGATCCTGGCGTGCTGCCGCGAGTCCCTTCCGCTCCGCCGCTCCTTTTCTTGGAATGCCGCGCCACTGGATGTGGATTCGTCGCCGCCCCTCACGAATCCCTCCATGGAAATCAGAAATTAGGGTTCTTGGGGAATTTTACCAATTAGCAAAAGTTAGCTTAATTATTAAATTTAAGGATGAATATCTTTAAAACGAATCCCAAACAGTCATTTGTTGAAATTAAGGTCCCAAGCCACAGTTCAAAATCATGTATATATCAACCTCTTCAAAAGAAACGAACTCCAAAGTCGGTTTTCATGGTTGAACACAATAGTTATAGACATATAGATGGCCTCGTCTTCTTCCAGCACTTGGCCGAGAACCAGATTTTCTTCTTTAAAATGGAGGAACAATATCTCTAACCTTGAAGTTTTTCTTCCTTGACTTTTACGCACCTGACTAATTTCTTTCTTTGCTTTTTACTAATTATTGACTTTCCCGGCAGAATAAAAGTATATCCGCACATTTGAATATATCAAGACAAGAGAGGTGACAATAAAAATGACTGGGGCTTCTCTCGTCTTTCATGCAGTCCGGGATCAGAAAAAAAAAATGAAAATCACTGCTTTCGTTACTGCTGCTCTTGTTTTGGCAATCCTCTCAATGGGTGTTGGATCTTTGATCCTTCGGCACCATGGTCCCCAAAGCATTCTTTCTGCTAGCCGGGCAGTGATCTTCCGCAAGATTGTGGAAGTCATCATGGAAGAAGTCTCCAGGGTCCATACATACTCAGCTGGAATATCAATTGGAGATCTCACTCTACAAGTCGAAGGCCGTCTAGTCTCCATAACCGTCAGTGTAGCCGAGACATGGAGGAGTCTTTTTGGCGAGCTTCTCATGTGTAGCATCTTTCCCTCACTGGGGATTGTCCAGAGACCCGGCACAAGGCTGATGATGGGCTTCATGAAGCTCTACCATGTTCTTGCCGACCTAGAATTAACAAAGGAAAACTATGCTTCCATGGAGATTATTCACGAGAGGCTCTCGATCAGGTACACTGTCCTTGAAGAATCTGATTTAGAATCTGTTAGGATACTAGATCACTACCATGTAAATCGCACAAAAAGCGTTGATTATTTACGACTCGAGAGTGTTCCGGAGCTTTTGGATGGTCCTGGCGACGATGATGAGCACATACCAGACTGTTGGGTTTATAAGTCATGCATGGTGGGTGGGGGCGAGGATTCAGACGTCTCACGCATCGACACTGATGGCTATCTTGAATCGGCCGATGGAGTCTATTTTCTCCGAATGCAAAGAGATTGCAACCTTGTTTTATATCTTGGGAATCAGGCAGTGTGGGCAAGCAACACGCAAAACTGGGGGAAAGGATGTCACCTGAGGCTACAAGGGGATGGCAACCTGGTTGTTTATGATGAGAATGGGGAGGCTATGTGGAGCAACAATAAGAATTGTGGGCGTGGGTGTGGTCTTCTCTATGCTATGTGTGTTGAGCCATCAGGGCATATTGTTGTGAATGACATAGGACATCAAACGTGCATCTGGATCAGTTCATAAGTCGTTGCAAAGATAGATTAATAGTTCATCTCCACTTTTATTTAGGCACTATGCTTCGTTTCACCAAGTAAATGTAGTTGCACCAAGGGAATGGAAATGAGGCCTCAATGCCTCATTTCCATTTCCTCTTGTATCCAACTATCGGTCTCATTAAAGTTCACTCTTAGGTTGGTTATGGATCAAGTACCTACCCGCGGGTTGGAATCCTTGTGAGGCTGTGTCCCAGCAAATCTCTTTGGGGATGGCTTTCACAATCTTGAGAGCAAAGCACCATACTCGTCCGTTCTATGGTTGACAACACCATCTTTAAATTAGGATTTGGTCACGAGCCACCGCGAATTACCACCGAGGATCATCGCAACATCGCGTCACGATTGCCCTGCTCCCATCATCCTTTTTGATCCAGCCAGCTCCCCAAGATTTAGTTGGGGTGAGGGCATGCTCAAGACTCCCATAGTGAAATATCTTTATCTTTATCTTTGCTAGAATCTATGGAATCTCTGCTCGTTCATTCGCTGGAGAACGAAGAGCAAAAAAACTTCCCCCTAACCCACTTTTGTTTGTTTTTGGCAGACAGACAAAACAGAGAAGTTCATGAATAGTTGTCTCCTTGCTTAGAAGAACCGCATGTAGACTTTGACTTTCCTGGCAAATAAACGTATATCCGCACAATTGACGCTTAGAAATGACGAGAGGTCAAAATAAAAATGCTGCAACGCTTCTCTCTTCAATCGTACATAGTCGGGATCAGGAAAGAATGAAAATCGCCACCTTCATTGTTGCTGCTCTTATTGTGTCAATTCTCTCGACTGGTGTTTCTTTGATAGTTCGGCCGCATGGCCCCCAAAGCATCCTTGCTTCTAGCCGGGCAGTGGTCTTCCGCAAGATTGTGGAGGTCATCATGAGAATCTCCAGGGTCGAGACGTATTCAGCTGGAATTACATTCGGAGATCACACTCTGGAGGTCGAAGGCCGTCTAGTCTCCATAACCGTCGGTATAGCCGAGACGTGGAGGAGTCTTTTTGGCGATCTTCTCATGTGTAGCATCTTCCCCTCACTGGGGATTGTCCAGAGGCCCGGCACAAGGCTGATGATGGGCCTCATGAATCTCTACCATGTTCTTACTAACCTTCAGATGACAAAGCTAAATTATGCTTCCATGGAGATTATTCACGAGAGGCTCTCAATCAGGTACATTGTCCATGAAGAATCTGATTCAGAATCTGTTAAGATACTAGCTCACGACCATGTAAATCATACAAAAAGCATTGATTATTTACGACTGGAGAGTGTTCCAGAGCTTTTGGATGGTCCTGGCGACGATGATGAGCACATACCAGACTGTTGGGTTTATAAGTCATGCATGGTGGGTGGGGGCGAGGATTCAGACATCTCACGCATCGACACTGATGGCTATCTTGAATCGGCCGATGGAGTCTATTTTCTCCGAATGCAAAGAGATTGCAACCTTGTTTTATATCTTGGGAATCAGGTGGTGTGGGCAACCAACACGCAAAACTGGGGGAGAGGATGTTACCTGAGGCTACAAGTGGATGGCAACCTGGTTGTTTATGATGAAAATCGAAAGGTTATGTGGAGCAATAACAAGAATTGTGGGCGCTGGTGTGGTCTTCTCTATGTTATGTGCATTGAGCCATCGGGGCATATTGTTGTTAATAATATAGGAGATCAAACGTGCATCTGGATCAGTTCATAAGCCATGGTTGATGCAACGCTAAATTTGCAAGCGTGAAAATCTTCTATTTTTTTAAAACATGTTTTATCTCCAACTAATACTTTTATTAGCTATCGTTTTCTTAATCTTCAAGGAAAGGATAGTCAGTGTATCCAACCACAGGATCTTGGATGTAGAAAGTCCGGCGATCATACTTGTTTAGTGGTGCCTTAAGCTTGAATCGTTTCACCAAGTCTGGATTCGCCAGGAAATGTCTGCCATAGACAACCATGGAAGCCTTCTCGGCTCTCAGTGCCTCATTTCCATCCTCCCTGTTGTATCCACCGGCGATCAAAACCTTCCCCTTGTAAGCTCTTACTATCGGCCAGAGTGTGTGTGCATCATTCGGACAGCCAAAGTTCACTCTTGGCTCAACCAAGTGGACGTAGACAAGGTTGGCGCTGTTTAGAGCCTGGATCAAGTAGAGGCCGAGCTCCTGCGGGTTGGAATCCACACAGCCAGAGTGGTTTGAGAATGGTGAGAGACGTATCCCGACCCTGTCCGAGCCAATCTCTTTGGAGATGGCCTCTACGATCTCGAGAGCAAACTGGCAGCGATTCTCGAGAGAACCACCGTACTCATCCGTTCTATCGTTGACACCATCTTTCAGGAATTGGTCGATCAGATAGCCGTGAGCCCCGTGGATCTCAACACCATCAAAGCCTACACCCAGTTTTTCGTTAGCCTGTGAAACTAGAAAGAAAGAAGCATAGTTTAACACCTGCGCTTATGGCGTTTCGTGCAGCCAAGCGAAAGTCCTGCACGATTGCACGAACTTCGTGTGTTTCCAAAGCTCTCGGAGTTGAGTAGCTCCCCTCTTCTCCCGAAGGAAGTGTCAATTTGCCCGTAGCTATCTTGTTGGAAGAAGAAAGAGGAGCTTCTCCGTGAGGCTGATATGCTGGAAGACGCCGCAAAGGCCAAAGAAGAAGAGTTAGAAACATCACAAACACAGAGAGAGAGAGAGAGAGAGAGAGAGAGAGAGAGAGAGAGAGAGAGAGAGGTGTTACATGTATGTGAAACTCTTCCAACATGCCATATCTGCAAGAAAAATATGCCCCCTTTGTCATGCACTGCCTTGACAATCGGTTTCCATGCCTCCACTTGCTCCTCGGAGAAAACCCCTGGCGTGCAAGGAAATCTATCCGAGAAAAGAGGTCAAATCCGCGAAGAACATGCACGTTTTCTCACCCAAATCCCGTGGGAGACACCGCAGTGGCCTCAGCGATGAGAAGTCCTCCTTGAGTCGCCCTTTGAGCGTAGTATGTGGCGGCGTGGGGCTGCGGTATGGATCCATAGGACCGGCATCTCGTCAGCGGCGCGAGAACGACCCTAGACGACGAAGATCAACGCTAGAACAGAAGAATTGGAGCGGAGGAGAAGAAATGTTACCTGTGATTGAGCTTGAATTTGCCCAGCTCATAGGGTGATAGCAGCGGGCACTGCGGAATTGGCTCCTTGGGCGGCTCTTCATGCTCCTGGGGCGCATCCATGGCGCTGCTTGGATCGCAATCGCAAAGGGATTGTGAGCTCTCATAGTCGAGGAGCCCACGACTCTGTGATTGGACGCTCCAGATTTGCCCACGAGGCAGAGCCCTATATTTCAAAATAGAGTCAAATCATCTTTTCTAGAAGGCCGTGTAAAAAGTATTTCGAGGTTTAGGGTTTGTATCCTCGATCGATCGATCGCGCCATGGCGCTGGACGTAGCACAGGTGGTGCTCACGGCATTCGACACGAGCATGTCGCGGACATGGCGAGAGGAGGATCGGCGCTGGCGGTCCGAGGACAGAGTGTGGAGGGCCGAGGATCTCGAGTACCGGGCCGAGGAGCGCAAGTGTAGGAATCAAGAGCGGGCTATGCGCGAGGCCGAGCAGAGGTGAGAAATCCTGGAGCTGTGTCTGGAGAGATTTTTTCATGTTTTTTGATGTGCTTGGATGAAAGAGTGCCGCAGATGGAGAGATGAGGATATGGAGCAGCGGCATGTGGAGAATGCGCGCTACCTGTGGACGAGGTGAGTGAAATCCTCTCATTCATTTTGTATTGTTGTAGTGTGGAGTCTTCCTTTGATCGAGTTTTCTTTCCTTGCTCTCGGTTTTAATTCTTCTCTTGCCTTATAGGTTCGTGGAGAAAAATCGTAGGGACGTGGAAGAAAAGTCCGAGCAGCTTAAAGCGATCTCCAATCTGGCAGCCTTGTTTGCTGGTTTTGCTGTAGTAACTCTAACACAATTCACCATAGCTCCAGATCCAGTTTTAACTGTAAGTGTTTTTCTCTCTCGCGCTCTAGATATGAAGTTCTTGCTTCCGTGTTTCAACAGGTTTGGATCGCGTTTTATGGTGTACTGACTGCGATCGCTGTGAGTTTTTCATTTCACATCACTCGTACTTTATAGCTTTAACTTTGATGGTCTCGTTTAGGTTGGTCTCATGACGATATCCATGGTGACTTGTACTTTGATCTTGGGGAGCATACTAAAGAACGGCAAATCATACGTGAATGAAGAGGCCGAAGAGGAGTTCATGTTCAAGTGCCGTGACTTTGTGAAGTCTTACAGGACTGGAGACAAGCCACCGTCTCCTCGAAGAACTTTCGAAGCGTTTTGGGAGATCAGGTTGGTTTTTCTCTCTTCTTCGTTTCCAGCATTTTTTAATTTTTTTTGTTTTGTTTCGTCATCTGTTTTCTTTTGCAATTTGCAGGTGTGAAGATGACTGGAAGAGAGCTTTCCAGTTCTTTGCATGGGGTAGGCCGTTAAACTCCAGTTAGTGTTTTGTGACGTTTTCTCTTTTAACAGGGGTGCTGTCCTTCCTTTTCAGTTTGATCCCGATTGGGTGGGTGTATTTACCTTTTTTTTCTTCTGATACGATCGCCCTCCTCGCAGGTGGATAAAGTTTTATAACTCACGGCTCACAGCGGGACTCTTCATGGGAGTGATTGCAGTATCAATCATAGTCTGGTGAGTAAAAAAGAAAGGAAATGGTACCTGATAAAACAATACTGGACTCGTTTCAGGGGCTTTGTACAATACTTATGGGGGGGATATCTCACCAAGACGTTTAGATACAACCGGACGAGCATAGCGGAAAGTGGGAGCAGCCATGCGGCCAGCATCTCGGCTGGACTGCCATTCGATTGGCATATTGCTCCGGGGAGTGTAGATAGGCAAGTCTGACAAGAGGAAAAGAAAAGAACAATGACGTAGATCCGCAAAATAGAGTTCCCTGTCCAAGCCTTCCACTCGAGAACGAATCTTGTCATCATCCAGGGAGCTTGAATCTTCTCTTTCGTGCTTGAAAGCTCACTGGTTTCTATGTTCACTTTGTAGCTGGAAGGGAAAGTCGACTCGTAACAAAACCAACGAATAATTGAGTGTTACTGCATCCACGAGGTGCCACTTTTTCCCTTGCATTCCTGTGCCTCTTCGCTGATAATTATTGTCCTTTGGCTGCAGGAAGGAAAAAAGAAATGGAAAGAATATTTGTGAATCAAATTGAAGCCCACTGGTCTGACTTGAGATTTCCCATTCGAAACGTGCAGCCAGCCTTTGCAATCATTTCTGAGCGCCGCACTGGAGTAGTCGCAACCGACCACACAAATGGGGCTGAAACAACGTACCCGATTTCCAGGGAGTGATATCCTTAATGCGTGCTGTAGAGAAAAATGATACGATCATCTCTGCGTATTATCCGCCATGAGTTTGCTCGATATAAACCGGAGGCGCTGCCTTCTCTTTTGCTCGTCACAAGAGAACATCACACTTCGAGTCCAGAGCTATGTCTTCTGTGAATCCCAACTTTGCTTCCCAAGGATGGAAGTCCGCGCCTTTTATCTTCGGTATGAACTTCTGTTTTCTCTGCTCCTACTGATGGTAGTTTCTGGTTTTTCTTCTTTCAGCTGCTATTGGACTGGAAAACATGGCCTTCCTTTCGGTCGGGATAAACTTGTTTCCATACATGTTTACCACGATGCACTTCTCCATTACCGATGCGGCCAACGCGGTTACCAATTTCATGGGAACTTCTTTTCTTCTCACTCTGCTGGGAGGATTTCTGTCTGACGTCTGCTTGAGCAAGTTCTGGACAATCAGCACTGGAGCAGCGATAGCATCTGTGGTAAGCAGGAGAGTTCTCTTTCTTTTACTTGTTGTTCTTATCTTTTATGTTTGACTGGACAGGGATTTACATTCTTGACACTTTCGTCTTCGATTCCCGCGCTGCGGCCGCCTCCATGTCCGTTACTCAGTCCAGAATGCCAGGAAGCGAGTGCCACCGGAAAGCTGGTTCTTTTCCTAGGACTCTACCTCGTTGCGATCGGGAGTGGAGCTGTCAAGAGCAATCTAGCAGCACTCGGCGCGGATCAATTCGACAGCACGGCCAACTCGAAAGAGAAAAGAGAGATATCGACTTACTTCAACTGTGCTTTCGTGGCTTTTTGCTTGGGAGCCATCGTTGCTGTCACCGCGCTCGTCTACGTCCAGGACAACGTCTCTCGCCAATGCGGCTACGCCATAGCTCTCGGCGCAGTGCTGCTGGCGACCATTTTCTTCGTTTCCGGTCGCAAGTTCTACCGAAGAACATCCCTGGGAAAGAATCCACTGCTCAGTGTTGCCCGAGTTTTCGTAGCGGCTCTATACAACTGGAGGGTGGCAGTGCCTTTGGATAGCAACGAGACGATTCAGGATGAAGAAGCTGGAGACAAAGTAGACAATTATATTCAACGCACTCCACAGTTCAAGTAAGTGTTTTCAAACGATCAAGTATTGGCGAATAGAACTGACCAGCTTTTTTGTCTGTTTCCAGATTCTTGGACAGAGCAGCAGTCCACACGAAAGCCATGACAAACGACACAATCCCGTGGAACCTCTGCACAGTGACACAAGTCGAGGAAGCCAAGATCGTGCTGAGGATTATACCCGTTTTCGCGAGCACCATCATGATGAACTGCGTGCTGGGCCAGCTCCAGACATTCTCCCTGGCCCAAGGCAAGACCATGGATCGAAAAGTCACGCACAAGTTCGAGATCCCGCCGGCATCGCTGCCGTTTTTCCCGCTGGCGATCATGGTGGTTTTGGTTCCGATCTACGACAGGCTCATCGTCCCGGTGATCCGGCGAGCAACAGGGCACGAGCACGGCATCACGCACCTCCAGAGAATCGGGATTGGACTTCTGCTCGCGGTTTCCTCCATGGCCATCGCAGCTCTGGTGGAGGAGAAGAGGATCCGCGTAGCAACAGCGAGCAGGCTTCTGGATCGTCCAGCCGAGATTATTCCCATGAGCATCTGCTGGCTTGGACTGCAGTACGTGACGTTTGGCATCGCGGACATGTTCACGTTCGTGGGCCTCCAGGAATTCTTCTACAGTGAATCTCCGGCCGGGCTCAAGAGCATGGCGACTTCGCTGGCGTACGTTTCCATCGCCATTGGCTACTTCATGAGCTCCTTGCTCGTCTCCATCGTGAACGCATGCACACGTAGGAAAGGTGGCGAAGGTTGGCTGCCAGACAATCTTAACAGGAGCAGGCTTCGCGATTTTTACTGGCTCTTGGCGTGTCTTAGCACCGCCAACTTGATCAACTACGTCTTTTGGGCGTTGTGGTATCGGAGGGGAGAACTTGCGGACAGGGAGCTGCGGAACAAGGAGAATCAGGATTTGGAAGTTATGAGCTCCGAGAATCAATAACTTTTTTGGAAACATGCTCTTGTGGCAAGACAAAGGATTAGAAAACAAAGGTGGCGCTATTGATCTTTTTCACCGGTATCAATATAGTATTGTCGCATCCTCAATGCTATTCTTTTTTAAGTTAACCAAGAAGCCAAATGTCAACCAGCAAGCGGAAATAGCAATGAAAGCAATGAGAAACATGTCTCTTTTATATGATAAAGTGAGCAAATTACCATCTGGACATCGGGAGGAGTTGTGAGTTTGCAACGCCTCCTCTCCCAAGTGAGACTTCTCAGAATTCTCATCAAGTTCTCATACTTTTCTTAAGGAATCCCTTTCCAAAATGGATAAAAGTACCTCATTCCGGGGATGGAAGGTGGCTCCTTACGTTTTTGGTACACACAAACGAAAAGATCCAGATCTCAAAACGTATGAATTCTCATGTTTTTCAATTCCAGGAACGGAAGCACTCCAGAGCATGGTCTACTTGACACTGGCACTCAACTTATCGACTTACGCAATCTTCAACCTGCATTACTCCCCAGCCGACGGAGCCAAACTCCTGTGCGACTTCTCCGGAACGGCAACGCTACTCACCATCGCCGGGGGATACCTCTCCGACGTCTACATTTCCCAATTCACAGGAATCATCATTGGAGAAATACTTGGAACGATTGTAAGCTACACAAAGTTTAGCTAATCTCTAAAACTTCCTTTTCTCCCTTCCAGGGAAGTGTCATATTGACAATCTCAGCAGCAGTGCCAGCCTTGAGCCCTCCTCTATGTCCACTCTTCGATCCAAGCTGCGTCCGGCCAACAGGGAAACAAACAGCCATCTTCTACTTTGGGCTATACATTCTTGCGGTTGGCCTCGCGAACATCAAGCCAAACGCTCCAACTCTGGGGGCCGTGCAGTTCAACGAGAACGATCCGCAGCAGAAGAAGCAGCTGCTCAGCTACTTCAACTGGTTCCTCTTCAGCACTTGCATCGGCGCGTTTCCAGCAGTCACTGTGATCTCCTACGCCCAGGAGCAGGTAAACGCTGCATGGGGATTTGGAATCCCGGCAATTGTCTTGGCCGTTTCCATCTTCGTCGTCTGTATGGGCATGCCTTACCGAGCAAAAGAACGCAAAGGAAGCCCCATCACCGGCATCGCCATGGTTTTCGTAGCAGCGGCCAGGAAGTGGAAGCTCAAGTCTCCTGATTCCATCGAAGAACTCCACCAGCCCATCGAAGACTTGCAGCATCTCCCTCACACGAACCAGTTCTTGTAAGTATTTTGCTGATTTGGAAAGAACTTTCATTGCTCACCACCTTTTGCATGCATTCAAAAGGTTCCTTGACAGAGCTGCCATCAGAACAAACGACGAGGAGAAGCACTCCCGCTGGAGGCTGTGCTCTGTCACGCAGATCGAGGAAGTCAAGGCAGTGCTCAACATACTCCCAATCTTCGCTTGCACCATCATCGTCAGCTGCATTCTCTCCCAGCTCCAGACCTTTACCCTGCTGCAAGCTGCCACGCTCGAGCGTAAGATTGGCAAACACTTCGTGATGCCCCTGGCATCGCTCGCAGTCTTCCCGGTTCTTGCAATCCTCTTACTGATGCCGCTCTACGACCAGCTTTTGGTGCCGTTTCTACGCAAGATCACCGGGAACGAGCGCGGCATTAGCCACCTTCAGAGAGTTGGGATCGGGCTTGTTATTTGCACACTCTCTATGGTCGTCGCGGCGATTGTCGAGACCAAGCGGCTCAAAGTTGCCCGCGAGAACAATGCGCTTGACAATCCAGCGGCTGTTCTTCCAATGAGCGCCTTCTGGATGGCCTTCCAATTTCTCGTGTTTGGAATCGGTGAGCTTTTCACGGTGGCGGGGCTCCTGGATTTCTTCTACACCGAATCTCCTGAAAACATGCGAGCCATGGGGATCTCTCTCGTCAACGTCTCCTTCTCATTCGGATACTTTCTGAGCAGTGTCATAGTGTCGCTTGTCAACGCTCGAACCAAGCCCGACTGGCTTCCCGAGAACATGAACCGGGGGCGGCTCCACAGCTTCTACTGGCTCCTGGCTGCCATGGGAGCCATCAACTTCGTGAACTATTTGTTTTGGTCGTGGTGGTACAGGCCGAGGATGGAGTATGAGAGTCAGCTAGAAAGCTTCAAAAGTGTAGAAAATGTGGCATGATCAAATGAAAACACAGTGTCAGATTTGCAAAAAATGTGGTTTAAAATGTCATTATTATTAAAGTCTAAAAGTAGATAAAGTATAAAAAATAACCACATCATAGTAAAAGTTACTTTACCACTTTCTTTTTTCATCAAAATTTATGCTTAATACAAAATACAAAATAAATGTGATTTCAATATATTATTTGCTAGTTTTTTTTTCTGTTTATATCTACAATCTATGCTATTAAGAGTTTTATTTATTCAACTCCTGATGTACAATTATGTTATGTGATTGTGGTGGTAGAAGAAAAAGATATCATAGACAAAGTGAATATTTTATTTTGGAAACAAAAATATTGAACAAAAACTGGGTTAGGTATTAAATTTACTTTATATGTCAGGTTATGAAGAAACCAAGATACTGTAAAAACTAAAAATAATATTCTAGAAGCTTTTTAATTTTATATATAGAAAGTTGTAGAAATTATAAAAGTGGTGGATGATAACCATCACTAAATATATAGAATAACATAAAAATTTATTCTACAAAGCTATACTTGGATTTACCTTGTCAATAATTAAATATCTTTAATTTATTAGTGTGTTAGATTAAAGATGATCCTAGATTGAGCTCTTTAATTGTCAATGCTTTTAGCTTGCTTACAAGTGTTACATTTGGGGACCGAAGCAGCATCCAAGTGTTGAATTTGGCCCTGGAATTGTCGAGGACCCGGTGTCGAGAACTTTTCCATGTTCTAAGGTGTGTCCTAGCTTAATATATTCTCTCGATTGTGGAAACTGGACGTAGAAAGATCACGATGACTGTTATGTTGTCCCGGCTTCCTCTCTCCACAGCCGCCGTGGCTAGCCTCTTCGCACACATTGCTGGGTCTTTAACTGTGTCACTGATCAGAGATATTGCAAGCTCGTTGCTTACAGTGTCCCATAGTCCATCAGTAGCCATCACCTGAAATCGAAGTTCAAGCAATGGTTTTATCATTGAAACGAAGATTGCTATCTTGTCTTACCAGGAATTCATCGTCAGCTGACAAGGAGCTCACAGTGATATCCGGCTCGGCAGTCACTGCTGGTTTAAGATCGCTATCACCAATTGATCGAGTCACCTGACAAACGTAAAATTGTCATGACAATCTATCCGAGCAGTCCCGTTTCTTCAATCTTACCTGGAGTCCTGCAGAGCCAACTCGCCACGTATCAACTTGCCATTGCACTGATCCACCAGAGTTTACGACTCGGGTTCTCTCGATCGGATCACTAGCAAGATGATCCTTGCTTAGAGGAAACGACTGGCCGTCACGACACAACAGAGCTCGACAGTCTCCAGCGTTGGCCACAAAAACTCTGTCGTTGATAAACAATGCTGTTAGAGCAGTGCATCCTGGATTCCAGTTCTCTCTCGAGCCTCTCTCGCTCTCAACCTCAAACTGGAAGGCCGAGTCTGTCCTCGTAAAAGCTAGAGACAATGCCTCTTCGGGCCTACAGCAAATATACGCTCGTTAGAAAAAAAGAGCTAGAAAACCGTGCACTGTGATAATCTTACTTGGACGATGAGCCCCGCAAAAAGCTAGGAACTGCGCGAGACGCAAACTCAGCTGCTTCATAGCCTGATATAAAAGAAATGAATTTTCACACATGAAAGAAGATTACTAGGGAAACGTACCTCTGTGCCCGTCAAAAACTCCGAATGCATGGATGTCCTTGGAGCCACTGAAATTTGGCAACAAAAAATGCCTGTCCTCCATTGTCTCTCGTCCACCCCGTGTACGAAATATTCCCCAAGATAAAGTTGGCGTATACACCAAGTCCCTGGAACGAAGCTCCTGGCAAAGCTGAGCAACTTCACTGGTATTCTCGCAGTGATCCTGCGCTCTCGCAGCCCAGTCTATGTTCTCCATCGGGATCGAAGTCTTCGGAGGCTTTTTCACCGTGAATTCCTGCGATGGAACTTCTTCCAGCGACGAGAGCATTTGCTGGAGCTTCCCAACGATAATCTCGAAAGAAGGCCGCCGAGAAGGATCACGATGCCATGACTGCTCGATCAGAGATGAGAGTGCGACGGGACAGCCGTTTGCCTCGCTCGCAAGAACAGGCCTGAGACCTTCGGAAGTTATAGCGGCCGAAAGTTGCTGCTCGGTGTAATTCATCTCCAAAACTGTGTGTGCCTGGGCTTCAGTTTTTCTGTCGGTGTAAGGTACTACACCAGTGAAGAGCTCGCTGTTCGAAGCAAAACTATTAACTTCAAGAAGAAATCTAGAATTTACGAGTGCTTACTTGACTGTGATGGCAAAAGCATAAACATCTGACTTCGTGGTTTGAGTTTCCTTGTTGAGAACTTCCGGAGCCATGTATAAAAGTGTGCCGACCATGTTCTTCTTGTGGAAGCCTCCAGTTGGTTTTCCTTGCGACTTCCAATTCGTCGAGTCCTGGCGCTTCAAGTCGTCTACGTAGCACGCAAGGCCAAAATCCGAGAGATGTGCGTCCCAGTTGTTGTCAAGCTAGTACAAAACGAAAGGTAAGTTTACTAGGCGTTTATCGAGCAGAAAAACTTACAAGAATGTTGGCTGGCTTTACATCTCTGTGCACAATTCCATGACAATGAAGATATTCCAACGCACTGGCTGTAAGGAAATCACTTGAGCTCGACCAAATCAGAAGAAGAAAAAAAAATTTAAAAATGGAAAGAAAACTCACCAAGCTGGATCGTGATCTTAAGCATCTGTTGTGTAGTGAAGTTAACTTCTCGAGCATGGAGAGCATGGAAGAGATTTCCATGCTCATAGAACTTGAACAGGAAGAGATAATCTGGAGGGTGGGCATGAGCCGCAAGGAGTGTAGAAATTCTTGGATGATTTAGCTTCCTGGACGAACAAAGAAAGGAAATAAAGATCTTAGTCACAAGTGTGGATTCTACGTTACGTTAGAAGCTGCAATTCCGTGTGGAATCGATCGAGATCATCCGCCGTGGACAGGCGAGGTTTCTTCGCTGCGACGATCTTTCCATTCAGCCTGGCGTCATAGACGACGCTCTCGGCACCTGGGATTCTTCGTCAATCAAAAAAGGAGAAAAGGAAAGGGAGAAAAGAATTAAAACGAACCGCGAGCGATTTCCTCGTTGAGCCTGATGCACGATCTTGACACCGCCAGTGGAATTCTCTCGCTATAGCAGCATCCTCTAAAGCACTGGCGGATCGCCACGGCCCCATCGCCTTGTAATTCCCTCATTCTTTTTCCTTCCTACTAGAAATCGAATCGCTCGCTAGAAATCGATCGATAGGATCGATTGCTCGAAATACCGACCACCGCCAGAAATAACCTACCTTGGTCGAAGGATTCAAATGAAATACAATAGAATACTTTGACCCTTTTCTTCCGCAAATCTAGGAACCTTTACTGCCACGTGGCGAGTTATCCACCGTACATAGTAGCGAAGCCAGACACGTGGCACCAGTGGTGTCCAATTTGAACACGTCTGCAACTAGCAGTTTGACACGTGGAAGGTTTTAGCGGACGGCTTAGATTGGCTCGTCCTCCCTGTACGGATCCCGCTCCCTGTACGGACTGCCCAGATCGTGCATTCTCGCGAGTTGGAGATCTTTGGTAAATTGCGTTCTCGATTTCGCGTAAGCAGCGCTCCGTGCTAGAGAGAAAAAATAAGAATGAGGTGTTTAGCTCGCAAGAACAGGAGAGGTTAGGCTTACTTGTTGTGATTCTTTGAGAGCGGGCAATGTTTTGTCTTCTCTTCCACAGGCAGAATCCACATGTTACTGCGACCATAGCGAAGATGAACGCTCCAAATGCGATCCCAACTTTAGCTCCAGAAGCGAGTACAAAGCCGCAACTTCGAACACCGGGTATACCACAAAGACCGGGATTGTCTGAGAAGCTGGGAAAAAGTTTGCTCGGGAAAAATCCAAGTTGGAAAGACTTTAAAAGCTTACTTGAAACTCGCGCCGTGCATTGGACCAGCAAGAAGAATCCCCGGGACGGCACCACTCAAACGATTTCCATTGAGGTACCTGCTTGGTATTCAAAGGCTAAATGTTGGCAAGCACAGCCTAAAACCGGAGCTCTTACAGCTTTTTCAGTCGAGGAAGATTGCCAAATGTTTCCGGAATCGATCCATTCAAGGCGTTGTATGCCAAATCCCTGCAGAGCTATCGAGCACAGCTCCAGAGACAACGAAAAACTCAAGCGAGTACTTACAACACGACAAGGTTCGTAAGATTCCCAAACTCGGGTGGAATTTGTCCATAGAGGCTGTTTCCGCTGATGTTTCTGGAGATACAAAGAAGAGAAAAAAGGATTAGAGAATGAGGACGCGCAGCTCCAGTGTCATTTACATGCTTTGCAGGTTTGTTAAGTAGGAAATGTCCTTCGCAATATGTCCCTTCAGTCCTTGATTGTCGAGGTCCCTGGACACCATGTCTGTTAAATACAAAACTCAAATTTGAAAACTTACAATCCATCTATAAACCAGCCTCCTTTGTCGAAATGAAAGCCGCAGTTAATCCCATTCCATGGATGCTCCTGTGGTACACAGGGATCCCCATTCCATCCCACTCTTGGCGGGAGAGCTAAGGAGTTCTTAAGAGCTTGTAAAGCCCAAACTAAGAAACAATAAAAAGAACAAGATGTGAAAACCAGAATCCGGATGAGAAAGGTACCTTCTTTTGGATCAGTCGTGTACTCCATTCTGACGAGTTGGTAGACTTCGAAAGCGTTCACCAATATTGATCCTTGGACCGGCCTGAAAGTAATAACCAGAGTTTTTCCTTCGACAAACACCGTCTTGTTAAGCACAAGAGCAGTGAACTTCGCTCCAGCAAGACCGATGATATCTACGTCCGGGAAAATGAGCTGGCTGTTCACGAGTATATCAAACACCCTCTGCTCTTTAGCTGCGATGCCGGACGATATCTCAGCAAAATGGAACCACAAGGAGTAATTCTGGTTGGGTTCTATCTGGATGTTGTAGGACACGCTTGCACCCGTGCTGGTTATCGATGCGCTCTGATATATACTTTCCGGATAAAAGTTTGGAGCGACTGATGTGTTGTTTATCCTTTCCGTTGTCGTCAGTGAATCTGTAGGACCTTTGTCCAGGCCCAAATCCGAGTCCCAGAACCTGTCCCCACCCCAGACACTAGCGCCAGCTCTGGATTCATACCCCCTTAAGTTTTTCTCGCTGCAGCTAACTCTTTTGACCACCTTGAGCACGACGTGGTGGCTCCACGAACTCCCAGGAGCATAAGCCTGCTCATCTATCTGGCTTATTTCGAATGACGAGATCGAAGGATTCCCGTGACCGGAGCTGTGAAAGCAGGCTGTGACAGCACCGTCCTCAACATAAAGTAGAGCCTCTGGATAACTCAGTCCCCTGGATCCGCCCCAGCCAGTTATCAAGCTGAAGACGAGCGTTCCCTCCAGTGAGACGTCGAACTGCGGCTCTAGATCGGAGTTATCAGCACTACCAAAGGCGAAGAAGAATCTGAGATGGTAGTGGCCATTCTGAGTTGTGATGTTGTAGCAGTTCTCGGGACCATCTGACATCTCAAAGTAGCGAGCTGTGCTTGTCTGCGGAGCCAACACATTGCGCGTCTTGATAATTGCTGTTTTGCCTCCAGAGTATCCTGTATCTTTAAGCCACAGCTTCCCGTCTGGAGATGTTGAGCTTTCGGTAGAGCCACAGGCAATGCGTATAGCAACAGGCGAACCTGAGAAGGGACAGCTCCTAGTCACTTCAAACGGATCAAGGGAAGACGGGAGAGGCTTACCAATTTCAGCAGAGACCCCAGAGAAAAGTATGCAGGAGAAGAGTAGCTGAAACAGCATACTCTGCCTACCCATTGTCTTCAAACTTGCGCTCCATGCATTCTACATACTGCTGCTGTTCCAGATCTATCCTGAAACCACAAATAAATTGGGAAGTCAGGAAATGCGAACCCATCAAAGATGAACCACCCCACCCAACGCCAGCGCTCTGTAGGCTCAGAACCGCATTTGTCGTGTTTCAGATCACTTGACGCAAGGCAAGAAGTCCCTGTTGAATCAGAAAGACAGCGAAACAAAGCAACGAATATAACAATCTTGAAGCTTAGTCTAATTACCCCTTGCTAAGCTCAAATGGCTTTCTGTCAGTTCCGACAACAGTTTTCACCTGACACTTGACAGCACAAAACAATCGAGGTTTGAGAATTAAGACTAAAAAACTGTCCACACTCACAGCTTTGCCGGAAATAAGCGGACTACAAACCTGGGAGTAACCATTGAAGCAATGCGTTCCAGTGATAAGACCTACAGACAGTCTTGAGTAGTCTGTACAGGCTGCAAAGCCAGAAGATGGCGATCCTTGTTTTTTGCCATATTGTCAAGGCAGCTCTGCAAAAAAAAAAGAAAAACACGAGTTGCATCAGACCGTCAATGTATTTCCAGAAATGAGAGGCATTACTTGCAGAATGCAAAGCGCAGCCATCTTGTCCACAATCTGTTTCCTTCGACGAGGCTCCAGTTTTAAGAAGCTAATAGCACCTTCCACTGTCTGCAAAACCGGGAATGCAATGAAGAAAATATAGACAACAAAACATACTCTGGATGTAAGACGCTCGTCCCAGAAAACGAAACAGCTATCCTGGAGCATTTGGTTCTGCTGGAGCTCTCTCACAAATTGTTCCACCAAGGGACCCTGGTAGAAAAGCTCAACCAAGTTTTCAAGGTGACAAGAAGACGAGGCAAAGAGACTACCTGGTAGCCTTGAAATCCTGTAATCCTGAGAGGATAGCCGATGACGAGCCCCGGCGCTGAGAGCGTCTTTACCTGCGGGTATACATTGCTGGAAAAGACGCGAGAAACAAACCATCAATCAACGCCTACCAGCGTTCCGAGCACATTCGAAGCATAGCCCGCGGGTCCTCCTTTGATGTCGATGACACTAGGAAAGCACAGAGAAAAACATGGAAATTTTCCAAGAACAGAGCAAAATCTAGCTTACCTGTGGGGATGCGCAATGCGATACTCTGAATCAGACACAGCGATGCCAATGTAGCGCGTGCCTACGTCGAGGCCGATCAATGGGCCGGTGGGCGCCCTAAGCAGCCGCTGGCAGAGCTGCGCGATCTTCACTTCTTGCATCCTCCACCGCGAAAACCCTAAACCCTAAAATCAAATTCTCTATCAACCCTTGTTTTTTTATAGCAGCAGCTAGCCTTGAGTGAGATCACGGTCTACGTTAGCTCGGGAGATCGCAGAGGCTTTGTAAAGGCAACATGGACCTTCAATCGCGCGGATTGCAAAAGATGCAATGCATTAGCAGAGGTGGTGAGCCTTGTCAAAGATCGTGCGTGTTTCCTTCTTGCCGAGCATTGCAATGAGAAGGGATGAAGCCGACGAAAGTGCCACCCAAAGTTGGCAGCAAGACTTGCTCACGAGGCCTTCAGGAACTTCCTGGACGTGTTCAAGGGTGCAAGGGCGAGCTTGAGGACAATGAAGTGGTCTTCTACACGAAGCTGGCATTTGTGGTAAAAAGTGAGCACTACTCTGGAAAGATGAGTGCTGCTTATTCCGCTTTAACACTCCCCCGCAAAACCACACCAAACAAACTTGTCACGTCCTAAGGGATAAAACGATGATGATTTGGAGTATGAAATGATAAATGAAGAAGAAAAAGGTATTTTGATGCAACTTAATGGTAAACAGAGGTTGTTTCTAAAACTCTTGGAGGCATATTAAAAGTGGACAAAACTATGTAATTATTGTTATAGTTTTACAGGGATCTTTGCTAGCAAAGAAAAATATTGAGAAAAAAATACTCCATACAAACCAAAAAGTGGAAAAATAACCTGCCACAAAAAACAAATGGAAGATATATCCAGTAAAAAAGGAGATTTGTTGTTTCCTAGTTTATTTATATTAATTATGACTAATTTTTATGGCTTTGTAGCTTACATCCACACTAGTATAAGCCATTGCTAGCATGGCAGCCACAAATACACATAATAAGGTGTGTTTTTGGTTTATAAAATTATGTGAGTTTTTATATGCTTTTGTAAGAATGAAAATAAGCAAGTGATATTGTACAATAAACTACTTTTTTCGTTTAAAATGTGGGAGAAATAAATAATTAAAAGCCATGAGAATCACTACTTTTCCAGAGTAGCTACTTTTCCAAATATATAAAAATATATGCAACAACATATGTACATTGTACTAAAATTTAGGTGTATGGAAAAGCACTATGGTGAACCATATAAAAGAAATGCTTTTAAACCATACCTGAAATCACACGAGAAACCACTCATAGACTAATTGCAAAATATAATATTAATCATACTAAAAAAAAATTATGTGCAAAACCATTTTTGTCATGGTCTCAAACTAGAGCATGGCCCAATTAATAATTTGTTATGCATTGCATGTAGTAACACTTGGTTTGCTTAATAGTAGTGTTATTTCTATTTAATAATTTGAAGTTTATAACTATAAACATGTTTATAGTTTATAAACATCAAGATTAATCTTATTGAATATCAACCATTAGATGGTAGAATAAACTAGAATATACTAGAAAATGTTTAGGAAAATTTATAAATTATAAACATGTTTATAAATTATAAATACAAAATTAATCTAAATGAATAACAACCGTACAATATCCTACAATATCCAAACATATTCTAGGTATATTCACTACCCCACAAAATTCAATTTTCTTACACATAATCTTGCAACTTTCACATATTTCATGAATAAGGTTGGCATCATGTGGCTGGCAAGAGTGCCCTGTGGCCAGGTGATGCTACAACTCCTCGCTATGTCTCAAGCTCAGCAGACTAAGGAGCTAGTTTGTATTAGTGGACTCCAGATGAGGCTGAGTCCTGAGAACCTGTTTCCTAGTCACAAATATATTAATAGGCATGTAATACCTAAATTGTTCTTCCAGCTGCAATTTCTGAAACTGTAGCTTCATGGCACTCTTTCAGTGTGATATTGTATCTTAGTTTTGGCCTTATTCGATTGGGATTCCTGATGTTCGCTGAATCCACATTGTATTGGAACAACCTGAACAAACCATTTAAATATGTATTTGTGGTTGAAAGTGATCATTGGAAATCTGCGACCACGTGCCAGATCACGTGCTTATGTTTTGAACAGCTGTAGAAATCCGTGATCCACTAATAACAAGCACTCGACCCTTGAGCACTTGGATCATTGTGCAAAACATCAAGGATGAAGCAAGCTTGTTTTTGTTTCTTCTTCTTGGCGGTCATCCTGCTAGAAAGTGTTTATGCCGCTACTCCGAAATGCCATCCGGAGGATCTGAAAGCTCTTCTCGCCTTCAAGGCAGGTATGTCCCACTTGGAGCACTGGCATGGCACCGACTGCTGCAACTGGGACGCAATCCGTTGCAACAATCAGACCGGGGGAATCGTAAGTGTGGCCTTCGAGGGCATTGGTGGTCCTGACTCGAGATTCAACTATGACCGCATGAAAGGTACCATCTCTGAGAACTCACTTGGCAAACTCGCCTTTTTGGAGCAACTGTACATGAACACGGTGCCGCTTGTGACTGGAGGTATCCCGACTTCGGTCGGAAACATCCCCACCTTGAAGGAACTGGTACTGGACAAAACTGGTCTTTCCGGTCCCATTCCAGCTTCTCTGGGGAAGCTTTCCAAGCTCGTTCTGTTATCTTTCACAGGGAATAAACTTTCTGGTTCCATTCCTCACGAGCTCAGCTCGCTCCAGCGTCTCCAGTCACTCACCTTTCGCGAGAGCAGCTTGACAGGCAGCATAAGCTCCTTGGACTTCGGGAAGCTGAGATCTCTCACGGACCTTGACTTGTCGTATAACGCATTCACAGGCTCTTTCCCGGCGTCGTTGTTCGGATCGGTAAAGCTCAAGACACTTTCTGTTTCTCAAAACCAGCTCACCGGTCATATCCCTGCGAGCATCGGCAAGCTCACCCGTCTGGAGGTTCTCGACTTGTCGTCGAATAAGCTGTCTGGTGGGCTTCCTAGCGAGTTGTTCCACCTGAAGGAGCTGGCTGGTCTGGATCTGTCAGGCAATATGCTCTCCGGGGAGCTTCCCAAAGCCGCACGCAAGTTTCCAGCCTCTGCGTTCGCCAACAATCGCCTCCTCTGTGGAAGCCCGCTTCCACCTTGTAAGCTGTGAAATGATTGCAACCTCTCGACGCAGCTCTAGGATTTTCACGGTGAACGCTGCACTGTTGTTAAGATTTATTTGAAAAAAATAAAAATAGACAACCAATGTCCCACTTCGACTGGGCTGCTGTGGAGGGAGTTGGGCGATACCCGCATTTGACGAACGAGGTTGGCGTCAAGTGGCCGACAGGAGTGCCAGGTGATGCTACAGAAGCACGACAAGGAGCTCCTCGGCATGTCCCAAGCTGAGCAGACTAAGAAGACTAACAAGCTTCTTCTCCCCATGGGGCTTACCGTCTAGTTGCAGCTCCCCAGCACAGTTTTTATTGACTTTAGTTCATTGTTTTACACCAATTCGAATTTAAAAGTTGTTCATCCACAACATGAAACTAGAATACAATATCATACTGGACGAGTGCTATCATTTCAATTGCGATTCCTGATGTTTGCTGAATCACATGCTCATGTTTTGAACAACGTGAACAAGCCATTTGGATATTGATTTGTGGCTGAAAGTGACGGAAGTCCGACCACTGATAAGAAGCACTAGCTTGAGCACAAGGATATAAGTTCTCATTAAGATCATTTGTGTGGAAGATGAAGATTTGGGATGAAGCAGCTGGGTTGTGTTTGTTTTGGTTTCTTTTTGGCGGGCATTTGTGTTCAAGCCGCTACTCTGAAATGTCATCCGGAGGATCTGAAAGCTCTTCTCGCCTTCAAGGCAGGTATGTCCCACTTGGAGCACTGGCATGGCACCAGCTGCTGCAACTGGGACGCCATCCGTTGCAACAATCAGACCGGGGGAGTCGTAAGTGTGGCCTTCGAGGGCATTGGTGGTCCTGACTCGAGATTCACAAAAGGTACCACAGTATGCACCAACAACTGTCCCAGTCTCCGAGAACTCACTTGGCATCCTCGCCTTCTTGGAGCAAGTGTATATGAACACGGTGCCGCTTGTGACTGGAGCTATCCCGGTTTCGTTCGGAAAATCCCCACCTTGAAGGAGCTGGTACTGGACAAAACTGGTCTCTCCGGTACCATTCCAGCTTCTCTGGGGAAGCTTTCCAACCTGGTTGTGTTGTCTTTCACAGGGAATAAGTTCTCTGGTTCCATTCCTCACGAGCTGAGCTCGCTCCAGTATCTCCAGTCACTCACCTGGCGCGAGAGCAGCTTGACAGGCAGCATCAGCTCCTTCGACTTCGGGAAGCTGAGATCACTGACGGACCTTGACTTATCGTATAACGCTTTCACAGGCTCTGTCCCATCGTTAACGTTGTTTGGATTGGTGAAGCTCAGGACACTCGCTCTTTCTGACAACCAGCTCACCGGTCTCCGGCCCGGGTCAACCCCAACGACCAAAAAAGCCGCCCCTTCTATACAGTCAGGCCCCGCGCATCCCTGCGAGCATCAGCAAGCTCACCCGTCTGGAGGTTCTCCATTTGTCATCAAACAAGCTGTCTGGTGGGCTTCCTAGCGAGTTGTTCCAGCTGAGGAGCCTGACGAGCAATCTGTCTGGTGCTGTCCCAAGCGAGTTATCCAGGCTGAAGAAGCTGACTGGTCTGGATCTGTCAAGCAATATGCTACCAGGAGCCGCACGCAAGTTTCTAACCTCCTCCTTCGCCAACAATCCTGGCCTCTGTGGAAGCCCATGGTTGAGTAAGGAGCTTAAGAGCCGAACGAGGAGAAGCCGGACTTCCTCTGATGGCATGGCTCTAGTAAAGCTTCCACCTTGTAAGTTCTTGCAGCAGCCTCTGAATTCGTCTTGGACTTTCACGATGTATGCTGCCGCTGCAAGTTGCTAAAATGTGATTGAAAAAAATTAAATCTTTTTGGGGAAAAAAAAGACCTGCCAATGTTCCACTGTAATCAATAGCAGCGTGAGGAAAGCGTGGCCTTCGTGCACTGTTTAGAAATGTGGAGATAAGTGATGCAGCGAGCCAATTATCGAGATATTCCTGCAGAGACCGGCCACAGTCAATGCATGAAAGACGGAATTTATAAAACCTGGAGGTAGTGAATCAACTTACAGGCAATCTTGTGCGGTTGCGAAGCCAAGAGATGGCTATGTTATGAAGGCAAGATAAACTTAAATTATATCCCTACATCAGACTGTTAGAACAGGTGGTCTGCAAAGGGGGAAGGTAGAAGTCCATGGGAATAAAGATGTTTGTCATTAAGATCACCAAGAGGAGCATGCCCTAACTATGGTGATTAACGAGAAGTTGCATCATCGAGGGACCAGCGCAAAAACCAAAACCTCTAGCAGCCTTACTGCCAGTACTGCAAGATTAGGTTTAGTAGTTCTTGGTCGGTGTTAAATCTGCCAATCTTCCCTGGTGCACTGTTTGGTAGCGAGAAAAGCTGAGCGAAGCAAATCCCAGATCGCAATACTGGCTAGTGCAGAATGCCGGGCTTGGAGATACCACTCCAGAGCAGTGTCTTGGAGTGTAGCAGGGAAGAACCAAAGGCGATTGGCTTCATCAGCAATCGTACTACTGTCTAGTCCCAATTGTTCAACTAAAAATTGGTTGGGGCAGTGCACCGATGACTAACTCCCACCAGGAACTATTGAAGTCTTGCAATACTAGCAGCAGGGTTACTAGGGGTTCTGGTTTTTACACTGGTCTCTCCCTTTGCATCAATAATACAGCCTCTCGTTGATATCCTCTGGATGGGATATTTCTTTAGTTCTGCAGTCCCTTTTTCTTAACAACCATTAAGTGTGCCTTTTTTGCTTCTCTCTACAAAAGCACTTAGGGCAACTTCACCTATTTTCGTTTTCTTACTCGGGCCAAGTTATGGACTACTCGTTGTTACAAATAATCGAGGAGGAGGTACTGGTGCGTTTGTCAGCAGGGTTACTACACACTCGCGTAAGATTAGTGTGCAAGCAGTGGAAAGATCTCATAGACTCGCCTAGGTTTAAGTCTCTCCATCACAAATACCACTCTGGATTCAAAGGTGGTGAGCGAAGTCCTCCCATTATTTTGGGCCTTGAGTGCAATGGTAGCCTCGCTAAATGCAATCCCTTTGGACAAGAAAGAGACAAGGATTGGATTGTGATAAACCCACTACCAGAACTTCGCTTCTATCTTCTTTCATGTGCTGGTGGACTGATGTTTGGGCGGATTACCAGCAACAAGAGCTATGTTACCTTGAATCCCCTCACTGGGGATCTCAAGGTCCTCCCACCGCCACCTTTGGAACCCCTGCCCTCCACGGCCATCATGGCCACGCACACGTCGAGGCAGCGTTACTGGATTTGCATTTCATATATGCGTGTAGTCTACTTGTACGATTCGAGTGTGGGGATTTGGCAAGAGGTTTCGCTGCCTGAAGGATGGAAGCATCACTGCTATGCAAAGGCGATCAATAATAAGGTGTATTACTACTGTCGTGGACTAGATCATGTTGATACCGGTCTCATGGGAGTTTTGAGCCTGGATCTGGAAAGTTTAAGTTGGTCTACGGAGTGGGAAATCCATGGGTATAGTACTCCAAGCCGTTGTTGTATAGATTTTCTTGTATCGCCAGCGCTGGAATTTTTCAAAGTCACTGTAGACTCTATGTATCATCTATCAAGGCTGGATGCTGCATCTAAAGGCTTTGTCGAGGAAGTTGGCTTGCCTTTGAATATGAAAGAAGGCATGTCTCATGTTCCATCTTGCTGCTACAAGGACACGATTGTGGTTGCCGGTCCCAAACAATTGGAAGTGCTGGATTACAAGACCAAATCTTGGACCACCCATAAAAACAAAAAGTTTTCCAGATTTGATTTCTTGTTTCTATTCACATCATCCTTGTTTGATCCAAAACATTGATGTTAAGGTTTAACTTGAAAATCAAAAGTGGTTTGCTTCCGTATAAATAATATATAGTATTTCAACATATACTAGTGGACGCTGCACTTCGAGGTAGCTAGCTTGTACTGGAATCTGAAAGAAGGCTTGTCTCAACCTTGCTGCCAAAACATTAGCGATTGCAAGACCAAACTTTGGAGCACCAGTTTCTTGATTTCATTCGTTGTTTGATCCTCGTCAATGAATAAAACCACGTTTTAGATAATTGAAGTACATTGACAAAACTAAGCATAAATGCATCAAACTTTTGATCATACCTATCCACAAGAGTGGAGTAGGGCTTTACCGCCATTGGGCACCGAATCTACCGTACGCCCAGAGAAAGAAGCAGCCACGTCACCGGGCGGGTATCCACGTCACACTGCCATTTTCAGTACCGACCACTCGCAGGGTACCAGGTCACGCCCATTTCATTTAAAATCCGAACTCGCGGGATATCGATATCGATATCGATTGAGAGCTCTGTCCAAGCGAGCGAGCGAAGAACAAAATGGGCGCCAAGAAGCTGCTGGTGGAGATCGCGAGCGCCGCCAATCTCATGCCCAAGGATGGCCAGGGATCGGCGAGCCCCTACTGCGTGGTCGAATTCGATGGGCAGCGCCAGCAAACGGAGGTGAGAGAAAAGGATCTGAATCCGGTGTGGAACAGCGTGGTAGAATTCAGCGCGCTCGAATCGCCAACCATGGAAGCGCAGGCTCTGGTTGTCACCGTCTTGAGCGTCAAGAAGCCATCGCAGAGGAGGCCCAGTTTCCTGGGAAGAGTGAGGATCCGGGGAGCAAATTTCGCCAAGCAAGGGGAGGAGGCGCTCGTCTACTATCAGCTCAAGAGGAGGAGCTTGTTCTCGCAGGTGAAAGGTGAGATTGGGCTCAAGGTGTGGTGGACGGACGAGCCAGATCCTCCGCCTCCAGCGGAGGCCCCTGCCGAAGCAGCCGCCGAAGCAGCCACCGAAGCTCCTGCCGGGCCTGCCGAAGCAGAGGCCCCGCCCGCCGAGCCTCCAGCCCCCGAGACAGAAGCGGCGACGCCCGAGAGCGCCGAGGCAGTGGCACCTGGCTCGGAAGCGGCGCCGCCTGCCGAGCCTAGCCCCGAGGCTGCCCCCGAGCCTGAGGCGAATAGAGAGGACGAGCGCATTGAGGTGATCGAGAAGACGATGATGTCGCTGCTCGAGCCCGTGTATTGGGATCACAATCTACCGTACGCGTGCGAGGTGCCTTGGAACAATTTCATTGCCGCGAGCGTTCTCGAGAACCCGTACATCAATCTGCCGGAGGAGAGCTGGATCATCGAAGCAGCAAAGACTTGACAAGAGCATAGGGAAGAACTAAAGAACTTGTATATCACTGTAATCAAGTAAAGTGGTCTGGAAGTAATAGTTTGCAGCAATAGCTTCAAAAGGTTCCTAGAGTTTGTCTGAAGCGAAACTTTCACTGTTCGCTTTCTTTTTGCAAAGTGTTTCTCTATCTAGATAGAATAGTATCGAAAGTTTTTTGTACTCGAAAGTTTCAGAAAGTGTATTTTTGATCGTAGATTTAGTGTGGGTGGCCAGAAATCGTCAGCGCAAGGCATGCCTGTGCTCGATTGGTCACGGTTGACAATGACGACTCCATGATCTCGACTTTATCGCGCAGAAATTGTCGCGAAGAAATTAGAAAGCTTTGTCCAAATTAGATGGGCGAGTCAACCAAACCAGCGCCTAGATCTACAAATCGATGCTCCTGTCGATGCCTGCGCCACCAGCCCTAAAAAACATTTCAATTAACCTCTTAATTAAATTAACAACCATTCACATAGAAACAGCATAGTCAAAGAGACAAGACAAGGCATCTGTTAGAATCTATTTCCCCATTAAAAAATAGAGAAAATAATTCATAAAAACATAATTTTCAACTCCTCGTACCGAAAGTGGCAATCGAAATACTAATCTATTCCAGTCTGGGTATATTCCAAGCGATAAGTGAAAATCTAAAATTCATGAAAAGCGACAGAATATCCTGGCTGACTGACGGCGCGATCCTCACGCCGGACCATCATAACCGTCCGACAACGACCGGCGGACCGGGAGAGCCGGTCGCTCGATCCGGGCCGTCCAATTCCTCTGCGTTGGCCGTCAATTCCAGGTCACTGTGGAGTGACAGAGGCAGGTTCTACAGGGACGAGCTGGAGGAATGCGTACAAAGTTTTTTAGGGCTGGGCGCTGTGGCGTCGTTTCTCTCACGCATCGATTTGTAGGCAGCAGCAGGAATCGGCGCTTAGATCTAGGCGCTAGCGAATGGCGGATTGATTGAGAATCAGGCGTGATTTCGTCCGGGGAATGGCGATCGGGAGGACAATGCTGGTGCTGGATTGATTCAGGCAGTGTTCCAGGGGTAAGCATCGAGAGGAATCGCTGGTTTCCCGCGAGATTTCTGCTGGGAGCGTATGTTGCAGGCCTCAATGCTCGCGGCGGATTTCCTTGACTAGTTAATTCCCGATAGAACTTCTCCTCTTCAGGTTGAGATAGCGAAAAATCTGGCAAGGGCTGGGTCCCTGTTCGATCGTCAGTCGCACCACGCAAGGTATGTCTAGTTTTTTAAAGATATTTTAGAATGGGTTCTTTTTTTTTTCTCATGAAGGTTCTACACAATCTCTGATAGAGCAAATAAAAGGTCCTTTCGTCTGACAGGTACATGTTTTCATGCTTTTTCTTCCTATGCTAGAAATGAAGTTGTCACACTGATCTCTTTTTTTCCTACAGGAGTACTCTCTAATGCTTTAGTCACGTACGAAGGACTGCCATGGGGAGGAAACTGTTTGTGGAGGTTTGTAATGCTGCGGATCTCATGCCCAAGGATGGACAGGGATCCGCGAGTGCTTACTGCACGCTGGAGTTCGATGGACAACGTCGGAAAACCGATACAAAGGCCAAGGATTTAAATCCAGTGTGGAACACCGTCGTCGAGTTTCCGATACTCGAAGGCAAAAATCTCGAAAGTGAGGTGCTGGAGTTGTCAGTGCTGTGCGAGAAACGAGGTGCGCAGAGGAAGCCAGGATTTCTGGGAAAGGTGAAGATTCCAGGGAGGAGCATTGTGAAGAAAGGGGAGGAGGCTCTTGTATACTATCCTCTGGAGAAGCGAAGCATGTTCTCGCAAGTCAAGGGAGAGATTGGTTTGAAAGTTTGGTGGAGCGACGATCCGGATCCATCACCGCCAGCTCCAGCTTCTCCTTCTGCTGCCGCAGCTGCTTCTGGTGGTGGTACTCCTCCAGCGGAAGAAGTTACTGCAAAAGACGCAGCGGTGCCAGAAGTTACAGAAGAAGCTCCTGCTGCGCCTGCTGCTGCTGCTGCTGCTGCCGCTGCCGCGGAACATCATCCAGCTCCGTCCGAGCCAGCTGAAGCTCCTGTCGAACAGGTACGAGAAATTCAGCTCGAAGAGATGGCGGAGCCGAAGGAAGAGAAGCATGAAGAGACGGAGGAAAGGAGAGAAGACGCAAGAGAGGAGGTGCCAATGGAGCGGAAGGAAGAGCAAGAAGAGATGAGAGAGATACCGAACGAGAGCAAGGAAGAGAAGCACGAGAAGGAAGAGGAGAAGAGAGAAGAAGCGAGGGACGAGAAGAAAGAAGAAGAAAGGAAGGAAGACAAGAAAGAGAAGGAGAAGAAGGAAGACCACCACAAAGAAGAGAAGGAAGAGAGGAAGGAAGAAGAGAAGAAAGAGGAGAAGAAGAAAGATGAGAAGCATGAAGAGAAGAAGAAAGATGAGAAGCATGAAGAGAAGAAGAAAGAGGAGAAGCATGAAGAGAAGAATGAGCAGAAGCATGAACCGAAGCAGTATGAAGAAAAGAAGAAAGAGGAGAAGAAGGAGAACAAGAAGGAGGACAAGGAGGAGAAGAAACCAGAGGAGACGAGAGAATATCGAAGTGTGGGAAGGAGGGAAGAACAGAAAGACGTGAAGGATCAAAAGATAAAAGAGAGGAAAGGTGACGCACCGACAATCGTCATAAAGAGGCACGACGACGAACACGAACACGAGCTCTCTCGGAAGCTAGTCCGGTCAAGCACTGTGCCATCGACAGACTTCCATTTGAAGGAGACTACGCCCGCTCTTGCCAGAGGAATCGGAGAGAGAGTGGTCACGTATGATCTGGTGGAGAAGATGAACTACTTGTTCGTCAAGGTGGTGAAGGCCCGAGCTCTGATGGAATCCGGCAGCGGCTCCTCTTATGCAAGGATAGTTTTTGGGAGCCTCACGGCAAAGACGAAGGAGGTTGGCAAGAGCCTGTTCCCGGAGTGGCACGAAATCTTTGCCTTCAGCAAGGATAATTCTGCAGGACCCGTGGTAGAAGTCAGCATCTGGGACCACGAAACAGATCAGTTCATGGGAGCTGTCGGCTTTGACTTGCAAGAAATTCCTTTCCGAGTTCCTCCAGACAGTCCCTTGGCACCGCAGTGGTACAGGCTCGAAAACATCAGCAAGAATGCCGAGAAGAAAGTCCGAGGGGATGTGATGCTGGCTATATGGTGGGGAACGCAAGCCGACGAAGCTTTCACGGAAGCATGGCAGTCGGACTCTGGAGGATACGCACACACTCGAGCGAAAGTTTATCTCTCTCCAAAGCTTTGGTACCTGAGAGTGAACGTCATCGAGGCTCAGGAGGTCCAACCGATGGACAGGACGAGATTTCCAGAAGTGAGCGTTCGTGCACAGCTGGGGTTCCAGATCTACAAGACGAAGGTGGCGAGCAACCGTAACACAAGTCCTCAGTGGAACGAGGACTTGCTGTTCGTGGCCTCGGAGCCTTTTGAAGACGAGCTGCTGCTGGTTGTCCAGAACAAAACCGCCAAGCCCAACGAGGAAGAGGTGCTCGGGATGGTGAAGATAGCTCTCGCCGGGATCGAGAAGAGGATAGACCATCGCCAGGTGAACTCCAAGTGGTTCGATCTCGTGAGATACAACGGAGGTGACAAGCACTTCCACGGCCGGCTTCACTTGCGGCTGTGCTTCGATGGTGGCTACCATGTCATGGACGAAGCCACACACTACAGCAGCTGTGTTCGGCCGACGGCCAAGCAGCTGTGGAGGCCAGTGGTGGGAGTTCTCGAGCTCGGGATTATCAGGGGCAAGGACGTCCATCCAATGAAAACAGTCGACGGCAGGGGTGCTACCGACGCTTACTGCGTCGCAAAGTATGGCCAGAAATGGGTGAGGACGAGAACCATCGTCGACAACTTAAACCCCCGGTGGAACGAGCAGTACTCCTGGGAAGTCTACGATCCATGCACAGTTCTCACGGTCGGGGTGTTCGACAACTGCCATGTCCATCCTCACCCGGAAGGAGGCAAAGACTTGAAGGACTTACAGATTGGCAAAGTTCGTATCCGGCTGTCGACGCTGGAGAGCGAGAGGATCTACACCAACAGCCATCCGCTGCTCATGCTCCAGCGCTCCGGCGTGAGGAAGCTCGGAGAGATCGAGCTCGCCGTGCGGTACTCGTCGGTTTCCATCGTCAGCGTCATGGGTCTCTACTTCCGGCCGCTGCTGCCAAAGATGCACTACTTGCATCCGCTGGGGGTGACGCAGTCGGAGATCCTTCGCATCAGCGCGATGAGGCTCGTCGCCATCCGGCTCAACCGTTCCGAGCCGCCACTCCGCCAGGAAGTCGTCCAGTTCATGCTTGACGCCGACTTCCACGTCTGGAGCCTGCGGCGCTCCAAGGTGAACTACTTCCGGATCATGAACTTACTGGCGGGTCCGATGGCCGTGGGGACGTGGTTCCACAACATCTGCCACTGGAAGAACCCGGTGACAACGCTGCTCGTCCACATCCTCTTCCTCATCCTGGTGATGTTCCCGGAGCTCATCCTTCCGACGCTCTTCCTCTACCTCTCGCTCATCGGCGCCTGGAGGTACCGCTACAGGCCTCGGTCGCCTCCATCCATGGACGGGAAGTTGTCACAGGCCGAGCAGGTGGAACCCGACGAGCTGGACGAAGAGTTTGATCCAATCCCGACGAACAAAGATCCCAGCGTCGTCAAGGCTCGCTACGATCGGCTCCGGATAGTTTCTTCGCGGATCCAGCACGTCCTGGGAGACATAGCCACGCAGGGGGAGAGGCTTACCGCGCTGCTAAGCTGGAGAGACCCGCGAGCGAGCGGGATAATGGTGGCGGTGTGCATGACCATCGCCATCTTTCTCTACGTGGTTCCACTCCGGGTGATCGTGGTGATCGTGGGGCTCTACGTTTTGAGGCATCCAAAGTTCCGGGAGCGCTTGCCGGGCTGGCCGATCAATTTCTTCCGGAGGCTGCCGTCACTGGCAGATCGTATACTTTGATGTACGTTAATGTACCGCGCGGCTTACCGTGTGGCGTTTAACTTGCAGTGCGGCATTCTTTAAAAAGCTATCTTGCAGCCCGGTTGAAAATGCATTGATGGTGGGCACCATGGCGCCGCATCTGTGCCGCGCGGCTTGCCGTGCGGTGTTTATATGTAGTGTGGCATCTTGCAGCTCAGTACCGTGCGGTGCAGTACGGCATTCTTTAAAAAGTTACCTTGCAGCGGAGTACCGTGCGGCATTATTTAAAAGCTACCTTGCGGCGGAGTACCGTGCGGTACAATGCGGCATTTTACCTTGCAGCTCAGTACCGCGCGGTACAGCACGGCATTTCCTAAAACTCTAGCTTAACAGTGCGGCACGGCTGTCCAAGAGAACTCCAAACACCATGAACACGGAGAATGGAACACCAAGGGACAAGAGTGTATAGAGAGAGTGGATGATAGTAGCATTGTGTTTCTCGTTTAACACCAAATATTTGGTCTCGCGCGTTTTTGCGGAATATTTTAGGTCGAGATGGGATCGAGGGGAGCGGTGAGCAACGCGCTCCTTCGCGCTCTGCGACGATCGATCGTAGCGCGTGTCGCGCCCGGCTCGGTAGCAGCGGCTGGATCGCGCTTAGGTGAGGAGGAGCGAGGAGCTAGATTGAAAATGTGGGAGGTTTTCGGGGTTTTGAGTGGCGCTGTGGCGATCGGCAGCTGGATCGGGCAAGGGAAATGCTCGCCGGCGCATTGCGAGGAGAGCGAGGAAGGGAAAGGGAAGTTCTTGATGAAAGGTACGCGATGAAGGTCTTGCGTGCCTAGGATTTTGATTCCTTTCTTTTGTAGAGTCTTATAGACGAAGGGTGTTCTTCAAGTATGAAAGGCGCATCAGAGCTTTCAGCCCTCCTGAGAAGGTACATGAGATTTACCACACACTCCCAACTCCACTTCTTTGATTTTTTCTTGTAGGTGTTTGAGTACTTTGCTTCACTCAGAGAAGATGGGCAATCTTTTATGACTCCATCCGATTTGATGCGTGCCGTCGTCCCAGTTTTTCCATCAAGTGAATCGAATGCCACGAGAGAAGGAAGTCTTGGTGGGGAGAGATCTCCTGGAGAGCTTAGTTGTCCTCCATCGACGTTTTTCATGCTTTTCGACACAAATGGAGACGGGCAAATATCATTTCCAGAGTAAGAACTTTGCTGGTGACTGTGCACAATACTTACCGCTGCGTTGGTGAGGCCAGGTTTATATTTTTCGTTACTCTTCTCAGCCTGCCGGAAGAGAACTTCAAGACGACTTTTAAAATGTTCGACATTGATGGGAATGAGTATGTGCTGCTGTGTAACTTTCTTCCATTGTGTACTGACTGAGACTTCTTTTCAGCATGATTGACAGGGAAGAGTTCAAAAAGATCATGAGTATAATGAGATCGCAGACTAGACAAGGCCTTGCGCAGCGAGACGGTCGTCGAAGCATTGCTGTGAAAACTAGTGGCGACTCTGTTGAAGAAGGCGGACTCGTGCAGCTCTTTTTCGGTGAGGATGGGAAGAAGCTTTTGAACTTTGAGGATTTTGTTTCTTTCTTACGTGACCTTCATGAAGAGGTAAGTATTGGTTGATTTGAAACAACTTAACTTAAAAGATAGCTTCTTGCAGATATTAAAGCTGGAGTTTTCCCATTATGATTTCAAACGGAAAGGACATATCTCTGCTCGCGATTTTGCGTTGTCCCTAGTTTCTGCGGCCAATTTGTCCAAGATAAATCAGTATTTGGACCTTGCGGACGCTATTGAAGACGATCCCAAGTTTAAATCCTTGCGTATCACTTACGAGGTTCGTTTAAACAAAGATTTAAATTGTTAGCACGGGCTGATTTCAAGATCTGCAGGAGTTCCGGTGTTTCGCCCAACTTCGAAAGAAACTTCCCACTTTAGCCTTGGCAATTTCGAGCTTTGGAAAGACGTCAGGCTTATTGACGAAGTCGGATTTTCAACGAGCGGCAGCGCAGGTGGTGCATCATTGAATACATTTAACTGTTTTAGTTCTATCGTTTTTCTGCTGATTGCTCAGGTCTGCAGTGTGCCCCTGACTGAGGCTGTGATAGACGTCGTGTTTTATATTTTTGATCTGAACCGAGACGGGAATCTGAGCATGGAAGAATTTCTAGGTGCTCTGCAGAGGCGAGAGGGAGATACTGGACATCCAGCGGAGGCAGGCATTGTCCAGGTTTTGAAATGCTGGTGGAACTGTGCGCGTAACTGTCGGAACGAGAAACAGTGGATGTCGGTTTGATAGAATCTGTTACAACATGAAACGCAGGTACGACTGACTTTAAAGCGTCCTCCACAACACAGATATTTTTCTATAATGACTAACAGATTATTTACAGAGTGGATCTATAAGGACCTGGAATCCGGTAAAGTGCTTTTGTAAATTTTTACTAAAAGAAAACTAATGACCAACCTTTCTATGCAGCAGAATACGGTTCATATAGTAGGTTTTCCAGAGTTCAGGATCCAGCTGAACTGACTTGCACTTGCCGCACTGTGAAGCGGCTTGGCTTTCTTCTGAGCTCTCTGTTCCAGCTTTCGGAAACGCTGGACCAGGCCGCAGACGTAGTCCTGAGCTTGTTGAGCTTCACTGGAAAGGCCTGTCAGGCTCTCAACTTTCCAGGTCTGAATCAAGTGCTCCATAATGTCGGTGTAATCCTTGGACGTGTACACCTTGCAGTCTTGAGCGATCACGGCATAATCTCGGAACAAGTTGGTGTTTTCTCCATCAGTCATCAGGTGTGCCGGCATTGTTATCTTCTTCTTCATCATCTCCTGGAATGCCAGCATTACCCCGTTCGGATCGATCTCAAACAGCCTTCCGACGATTCTGGTGTATGCTATCTCGTGCCTCTTCTCGTCTGACGCTATTATTCCACAGACAGTTGCCAGCTTGAGATCACCGTATTCTTTTGCGTGGCGTGCCGTGTTCCCATGAGAGATAAATGTCGCTCTTTCTTGGAAGGAGGTGTAGATGAAACCATTGTAAGGATCATTGTCGATCTGAGGTTCCTGCAAAGGTTTTTCTCGAAATTAGACTAATGCTTCAAAGCATTTTGCAGGCTGCTGCTCTTACCATGCCGGAGCCGATCAAGTACTGGGTGGTACGTTCGACCATTTTCATGTTGACTCTTCCTGACAAATACAGATATTTGTTGAGCAGCTCTCCATGCCTGTTCTCCTCGGCTGTCCAGGCCCTGATCCAAACTGCCCACGGCGTGTCACTACAGCCCGACTCGTCTCTCACGCCTTTGAAGGTGTTGAACATCGTCTGATAAGTCGGAAGAGCTTCCTCTGTGATCATGTCGCCGATGAGACACACCAAGTGATCGTCAGGGAGACTGGAAACTCTCTTTTGGAGCTCCAAGACCTCATCGTAGAATGTGGGTGAGGAAGAGTCGGGAAGAAAGTCTTGGGGCTGCCAGCATTTCTCGACAGGCTTGAGAAGAGGGAGGAGACTTTTGACGGCCCAGTCACTCATGGAGTCGATGACTTCCACTCTGTCCCTCATAGTCGTCTCCGGATCACGTAAGTTGGAACTCTGCCTGGGCCTGCTGCTTACGAACACCGGTTCCGGCTTCTTGATACTGATTTCTAGCGTGGAATTTCTACAGGCAAACAATGAGGAAATCTTGTCAAAAGAAAGACAAAGCAGCGCGATACGACAAACCTTGGCGCTGTCGGGGCGGCAGTTGCTTCCATTCTGATCCGGCTTGCTGCTCGGGTACTTCGGAGCAGCTGCAAGTTCGGGCATTGGAAGTCTTTGCTGGAGAGATGATGCGGCATCGGCATTGTCTTGGAACTCATCGTTTGGAGATCAGCAAAAGCGGGAGCGATTCATCGAAGGAGTAAGTGACCGAAACGCTGCTCTTTCTCCTCTCTCTTGCACACTTTCTAAATACATTCTATTTCACAGGGCAGGGGCAAACTTTGAATGCTTGAGCACGAATCGAGAAGGGAGGATTTACTTTACTTTCTACTACCGCCGCATGAATGAAGGAAGGAAGGAAAGGAAGAATAGGGGGGAACGGACAGACATGCATTCCGGGGAGTCAGAGCGCCATTGCTCCACCGTTCACCTAACTCAAAGAACACATTGATTTGGCAGACGCACAATAGGAGGAGGAGCGGGTGGTAGCAGCTATTGCGAGAAGGAAAAATAAAGCAAAGGTGCGCACTCTTTCGACATTGAGATATGCTTCCTAATACTTGGAGCCGGGGCGACGGAACAAAGAGATCATCAATTCTGTTAGGTGGAGGCGTCTTGAATGAGCGAGAGGAACATTCATGAGACAACTTTGGAGACCAAGCGATTACAGGTAAGAACTTTCTTTCCTTTGCTTGCTGTGTGATGGTTTGGTTTCTTCAATCTTCCGTGTTATGAGTGAGTCTTGTGTTTGATAGTTTCTGACCCCTTGGAGGTGTCTGCACCGCAGGGAAAGGAGGAAAAAAGAGGAGGAGGCGAGCGAGGAGGAGGTGAAAGGGAAATTATCACCAACTTTCCCTGGCGTTTGCAGATAAAGCATGTGAAAGCGTCGGTATTCAATCACAAGTACCGTGCTAGCTCCAGCTGCTGCTGCCGCCAGAGCTCGAAACACAACTTTAAGGTTTTTATTTTTCTCTTGTTTGTCCTGACCAGATTTTCATGTTCCAGCCGCGTGAGATTCTATCGGGTAAAGAAATCTAGATTTGTCAAACCTTTCCTCCTAAGTACAGCCTGGTCCTTTTTGTTGTCTGCACTGTGCAGATTCTGTGCGTTGAGGTTTGCGAGACGAAGTCTTTGAAAGAACAAAGAGAATCTGTGCGTGACAACGGGACTACACTTCCTCGACTAGACTCGTGTTTGTTAAGCGCGGGGGGAAACGTCAGTGACAAACAGAGAGGAGTGAAAAGAATGGAGTCATTCACCATTGATATCAATGAGGTATGCCCACCATGTCAACAACCACTGTCCCGAGATATTGAAGGTCATAAAACTTGTGCTGCCAGAGAAGATCCCCGCCACTTTTCAAGTTATGGTACACACACACACACACACACACGGATGGATATCGATCCAGCGCGTCTCTTCTGTAAATATTGCTCTTCTTTCTCTCTTCCAGCTTGCTTGCTTGTTGACGTTTAACTTGAAAACAGGTTGTTCCTCCGTTGCGAAGAAAAGGAGCTATGGTACCACGTAGTTGTCTTCTACAAAGTTAATGTAGCTGGAGGGACTGCGAGCCGAGAAGCATCTCTTCCAACTCTTTAAAGCCTCTGGACACGGGCTCAACCGCGGCCGGAGAGAGCGGGAGCCTCTTGACTTCCGTCATGTACCTGTGGAGCCAAGAAAGAAGTAAGTTCGCGAGATCCTATCTAAAGCTTGATGAACGCAGCACCTGTTCACTGTGCTACACAGGCGGTCCCGGACGCCAGATGAATCGTCAGAGCCGGAGAAGCTGCCGCCAATGGATCCAATGCGCTGGGCCAGTACCACGATTGTCCACTCGCGCATCACGGCGAGCGCCGAGCGGAGGAGCCGCAGCCGCAGCGCTGTGCTTGGCAGCACCGAAGTACTAGTGAGAAGCTGGTCATAAGTTCGTTGTACTGGCTCTGGGGAGTCGTGACAGGCGGCCAGTAATGCTCGTGGGACGTCCTCGTCTCCAACGATTTCCAAGCTGGATGATACTCTCTCCTGGGAGGAAAGACCGTGACGCAAAACGATGAAGAAAGAGAGGAAGGAGGGATCTACCTCGGCTGCTCGCTCTAAATGGAGGCAGATAGAATCCAGTGGCATGCTACCGCCGTCGCCGGGATAGAGCTGGGGGCCAACTCTCTTCACCACCGTGCAGGCCTCGGCTATGCCTTTAATCGTGATGGCTTGGTCTATCAACCTCGCCCACGTCTCGCGCATGACATTGTTCTCAGCGTCGCTCGTGTAGTGTGAGAAGTGGAGGATTTCCAAGCACACCTGCGAGAAGAAAGCGAAAGGTTTTTTTTTTTGCTCGTCAGAAAGGAGTAAAAGAAGATGTGAGAGTTGGAAGAAAAAAGAAATGGAAAGAAAGAAAGAACTCGCCTCCCAAAGCTTGAAAGGAACCGCGTAATTGTTGTAGAGCTGTGTGATGCTCTTAAGTTCGGCACCCAGCTCCAGCGCTTTCTCCCTGGCGGCACGGAGGAAGGCCTCGTCGTCCGCAAAGCCCTCCGGCGGGAACGCGTCTATCGCCATCTGAGAAGAAATGGCCTCGAGCTCGGCCTGTATCTTAAGCTGGAACCGCAACACCGCGAGCTTGCCTTCCAGGAGCTCCAGCAGGCCGCTCTCTCCGACCTCCGCGTTGGATCCCAGAGCTCCGTGGCGGATGCTTCTGGCTTGTACCACGGCATGGCTGAGGTACTCGTGCCTGGAGAAACAAAAAAACTCTCAGATAGTAAACAACGAGCCTCGAAAGAAAATATTGCACGGTACCTGGCTTCCAGCGTGAGCTGCTCACCGCCTTCGCCACCCTTTCGCTCGCCGAGGCGCAAGAGAACGTAAGCCGCGAGCGCATGCTGTCTCTTGTGCACGTAATATCTCGAGAGGAGCTCCAGGTACTTGGCTTGGTGTGTAGTGATGGGCTTCATCAGATGGATCACGGAAGGTGGCGACGTTATTCCTCGGGGGCTCTTCGCAGGCTGGTAAAAGAGAAAACAAAACGTTGTTAGCATCAGAGGAAGAAAAGCTGCAAGCACAACTTACCTTTGCAGTTTGGAAATCAACAGCGGCTTGTAGAAATGGAACCAGATCCGGTCCGGCTAGCTCGAGGAGCTCCTTCTCCAGCCCCAGCTCTATCATCGACTCGTACAAGTACTTGTGAAAAGCCCGATCTGGTGAGCGTACGCCCAGCTGAACGATCTGTCTAACGTAGCGCATCCTTGCATTTGCATCCAGCGGGCCCATCTTTGATGCGTTCCCGTTGAGTGCGGTTTGCGGCACCAGTGAACGAAGCGCATTTGTTATCACTTCGTAGCATTGCTGTCTGGATGCGAGCGCCATCTTTCGCCGGTTCTCGTCGATATGCGCATTAAAAGCATCCTCGTTAGGATCTAAAGCTTTAGCCTTCCGGAGGGGAAGCTCGACAACTGCCTCGTAAAATCTGCAACAAACTTCCAGCTTGTGAATCGACCAGCCTGACTGGAGACTGTTTGTTACCTTATCTCTTCAAAACGCGGGCATACGCTCAGCAAGTTTGCGGTTTCAGGAACCCTGGCCAGCAAGTCAAGTGCCTCTCTGGCCAAATGCTCACGGACTTCCACATCTCTAGCGTTTGCTGCCTTCTCCAAACACTGGACGGCTTGATAGAACTTATCATCGGCCTCGTTGTAGTAGCTCGGGCATCCGTCGCGTAGCTTCGTACTTATGTCGTCAACCGTCCCTTTTCCCTCGGGAGATACATAGTACTATACATTCAAAAAGAAAAACTGATGAAGGAACAACACTTAGAAACATAACGATCAAACGTACCTCCATAAGAGCACCAATAAGTCGCGTAGCTACGTATTCCCCTTCCTGAGAACAGACAAGCTGATGAAATGAAAGCTGCGCGAGCTGACGGCGGACTTCGGATTCCAGACTTTGCACTAATCTCGTCAAGTGATGCTGAGATAAAAGCTGCAGTAGAAACAGCGCTTCCGCAGACCTCCGGAGCAACCTTCTGACGCATTCCATCCCTCGCACCTACAGAGATTGTACATATCAGCCGACGTTCAAACACTGCAAAATCGTGTCCAACCTCCATGGCAGTAAGCTCAGCAGGACTATAAGCAACGCGTTGTCTCTTGGCACCAGCTTGAAGTCCACCTCCGGACCTCGCATAAGGCGTGTCGTATTGAAGCTTGTGTCCAGCTTCACTTCTGCTTATACCATTTCGATCTCCGTAGCCTGACAAATCGCCAATTCCCATGATCCGACCATAGTGACCGCGACGTTGGTTCCTTCGAGCTCTGAGAAACATTTCCAGGGATCTGATCTTGTCCTCCAACGTATTCATTGCGTCCGGAGATATCCGACAAGAGATTATTCCACCTGTGTCCGTCACCATGTCGTTTCCAGAGTCACCTTTGGCTATAAATACTGGTAGCTCCCACACGGACCAGAGAAGCCTCGAAGCACACAAACAGAGGCCTTCGTGTGCACCTGAGAAAACAGGCTCGGCTTCTTGCACCACCTGTCCCATATTAAATCCACCACCTGTATTAACTGGTGTCGTCGTTGCAGCCCCTCCTTGCATTTGCGGTACTCCCACCAGCCTTGGATCTTCAAACGCCTCGGCAGCCTTCTCAACCACCGCTGTTGATATCATCTTCTCATCATACGAAACAATGCGAGCCGCCAGCAGTAGACACATTGCCGCAGCTTCGCCAGCCCCAAAGCGCTGAAAGAACTCTTCCAGAATCGCTCTCGTGGTGTTCGATTCGAATAACCGCTGCAGCAAGTCCACTGGCCGGTTCATGACAATCTCCGTCAAGCCCCGCGTACTGGCGATCACTGCTCTCCGTCTAGGAAGAATATGTTGCGTCGCAAGATCTCCTAAAGCCCACAGCGCTCTTGCTCTACTTACTTCTCCCACAGCACCAGAGCCAAGGGCGCTGGAGTCCCATACCAATGCTTCAGCAATCGCCGCCTGCTCCGGAGGTGGCAACATATCGACGATCGCATAAGTATGCTCGTCTGCTCCAAAAGTTGTCACAACTTCTCTCAAAGCACGCATGTTTCTTCCACTCGCACCCATCCCTCCATATGGCGAACTCGCACCAGGAATCAACGGAGAAGTGTAGTCTTTGCGCGCCACAAGCAACCGTGGAGAGGGTGACGAATCGGCCAGCAAGAAGTTTCCGCTTGAGTATTGAGCTTCTTGAACTTTCAGTCCGTCACCCTGTGGCCTGGTACCGATAAGAACGTTGCCTAATGAAATTCCTCCACCAACACCAACCGAAGGACCTGGCCTTGCGGACACTATTCTGAGTAGCGAAGGACGATCCATCCCAATCGTTCCACCAGCAGCCTGGCTTCCGCCCATGGTCGGAGTTGTCGACAGGTATACTCTGCGTCCATCTGAAACTATAGCCACCAGATGCAGCCACTTGGATTCCATACTCGAGAGAGGAGCCAGAGAAACCACCGTTGCCTTTGGAGCCCGACTGGTGCCACGCGAACCTGTGCTACGTATGCTACCGTGACGACCGTCTCGCTGATCCCCAAAGTTTTTTTCTTCGCCTACTTTCTTCGGGGCAGCATCTCCGTTTCTGCCGAGATCAAAAGCTTGGACCTTGGACTCCTGTGTGCGTGCGTACATGATGTTTCTTTCATCGTCAACGGCAATTTCCAAAATCGAATCTGCCGCTCCAAACTTGAGGCCGTTCGGTATAATCCACCTGAAATAAATTACATGTAAGAAAAACTTCAAAGAAAGTGATGAACATGTGTACCTTGAAAGCATACTGCCAAAGCCACCTGTATGGCAAATCTTACGGCAGCGACTCTGCCATCCTAGCCCTGTCGTGTAGAGCAGCTCGTAGATATGCCCATCACGGCCACCGAGAAAAATACGTCCCTTCTCCGTGGAACTTACACACGTCATGGTGACACCATCCGTCGGTACCGTGTACTCTGGTAATGGTTGTAAGGAAAGCTCGGAAAAAGCATCACTGCCGTCGCTGCTAGCACCGCAGCAGACGCCTAGAAGCACAAGCTTGTATAGCGTCAAAAGCGGGAATTCAAAGAATCAGTCCAGGAAGAATAGTTGGAGTGACAAAATACCTCGACAGGAGTTGCAAGCACTAGAAGGTGCTGAATCGCTTCTACGAAAACTCCAGCCTTCGCTTTCGCTAAGCCAACAGCACAAATGGCCTGCTCTTCACCGCTATATTCGACACAAGTTCCATCCCTGCAAGAGAAAAAACTTTACCAGGAGTGCCAACGAACTAAGCGAGGATCTTACCATTTATCAAAGCGCCATATAAAGAGAGTCTCGTCGACAGTAGCCCAAGCTCGTCTTATGGTGGGAAAAATCCCACAAAACGCCATCCCTTGGCCAACTCCAGCATTGTAGCACTCCATGACTTGAGGCGGCAGCTCCCTCTTCTTCGAGACATCGATATATGGAGGCCACTACAAAATTCACAAAGACCCAACACCCTTTTAGCCTCCATCCGAGACGAAACAAGATCCAAAATCCCCCCCTAGCTACAAAATCGCTACGCTAGAGCGAGCATTCTACCACTAGAGCTATAACACATACCTCCTTCTGTGGACTAGCATAGGGATGGCTCGAATAGCGCCCGGCATCAAGAGCGTCTAGAAGATCTCCCGACGCGTAGCATCGCAAATCGCGATTGATAGTGTCGCTGAGAAGCCTACCAGCCGCCGCAATGTCCTCCACGACCGCCTCGTCTTCCCAGCTCATTGGAGCTCTCCCGGCGAGGCGACCCAAACCCTAAACCCTAGGATCTCACCCTAAATTTCACTACCCGTTATACCGTCATCGTCATCATCCTAGTCATCCGCCACGTCCGTATTAAGAAATTTTAGGGTTTAGGTTTTCTCTCCTCGAGCACCATGGGCGCGACGCGGAAGCTCCAGGGCGAGATCGATAGAGTTCTCAAGAAGGTCCAGGAGGGCGTGGATGTCTTCGACAGCATCTGGAATAAGGTATGGAAATCTATGGCGTCGCCTCGCCATTGATCGATCGAGAAATTTTTTTTTCTTCTCGCAGGTGTATGATACCGAGAATGCAAATCAAAAGGAGAAGTTTGAGGCCGATCTCAAGAAGGAAATCAAGAAGCTACAGCGATACAGGGACCAGATTAAGACGTGGATTCAGTCCAGTGAAATCAAGGACAAGAAGGTGATTAGGCAGTTTCTTCTAGCGATTTTTTTTTCTTCATTCGTTTTGATAGGTAGCAGCGTCTTACGAGCAGGCGCTGGTGGATGCCCGGAAGCTCATTGAGAGGGAGATGGAACGATTCAAAGTTTGCGAGAAAGAAACGAAAACGAAGGCGTTTTCGAAAGAAGGTCTAGGCCAGCTTCCGAAAACTGTAAGTGCTGCCATTTTAGATTTCTTTGGTCTGACACGCAACGATTGTCTAGGATCCAAAAGAGAAAGCAAAAGCCGAAACACGAGAATGGTTAAACAATATGGTTCGTTTTGTTGTGGCATTAAGACATAACACGCTAACTATATGCTAGGTGGATGAGTTGAATTCGGGTATTGATGCGTTTGAGACAGAGATGGAAGGACTGGCAGTGAAGAAGGGGAAAACTCGCCCCCCCCGCTTGGTAAGAACGTTTTTCTCTCTTTTTTCCTTTTTACCTTCTCTCAAACTTCTTGCTTCCTCAGATTCACTTAGAAGAGTCTACTGCCCGTCACAAAAGTCATGTCATGAAACTAGAACTCATTTTGCGACTTTTGGACAATGACGAGCTAAGCCCAGAGCAAGTAAATGACGTCAAAGAGCTTGTGGAAGATTACCTCGAAAGGAATCAGGTGACTTTGCTTTCTCGTTGTTGCCTTGAAACCTGAATGGTGGCCGCGACAGGAGGATTTTGATGAATTCGCAGATGTGGATGAACTTTATAGTCAGCTTCCTCTTGATAAAATGGAGGCCATGGAGGCTCTGGACCTTGCTCCGAATGTGGCTTCAGCACTTGTGGTAAAGGAGAAGGTACTTAGTTATCTACACTGTGTTTCAAACTGTTGTTGTCTGCTCTGTAGGCTGCGGTTGCTGCCGCCTCCGGAGCTAGCGTGACAAATGGTGCAAGCGTTAAACCATCACTTCCGGTAAAACTAACTTCCACGTAAACCTTTGGAAACTGTTATTTCCATTTCGTGTTTCAGGTTGCTGCTGCTGCGGCAGCTGCAGCAGCTGCTGCCGTTGCTGCTCAAGTTCCTCCACCTTTACAGCCCGTGGATGATATTACATTGGAAGACACATCCGCACGAACATCTCCCGTTCCAATCACCGCAAGCTCGCTGTCACCCACAGGATCGGCCTTACTGCAGACTACTGGAAGCGATGTAACTTCATCTCCAAGCGCTTCTGGTATCACGCAACGGACTGTGGCAACACCTCCTGGTCTGATTCCACGGCCAACAGCCAAAGGTGCGGTCTTGCAATCATCACCTGCAAAAGTCAAGGAGGACGAGGTGACGAGCCTTGCCGGGCGACGAGTAGGACCAGGTATTGGAGATGGAGGTCTTTCTCGAAGCTTTGGCAGGCAAACAGCTGTTCCAGCTTCTCCTGTCGCTCAACCTTCCCCAACCGTCTCGAGCAGTCCAACAGTGCCGGAAGCTGCAAAACGGAATATAGCTGACGACAGAGCCACTTCTGGAGTCGCACCGCAGCTCAGTCCTTTGAGCACGCCGAATAAAGCTCCTTTTGGAGGAAAGGTTGGAGATTCCAGTCCGACAAGTGAGGCTCCGGGAACCCCAGAAACGGCCATTGGGAATAGACTGGGCCAGTGGAGAGAATCGGTATGTCGTTTACAAGAAAATATATCGACCACCGGACTCTGTATCTTTTGTTTTTCCAGAGCCAGTTCCATGGAAGACCAGAGATTGTTCCAGATCAAAAACAAAAGTTCTTACAGAAGTTGCAGCAGGCCAATCAACAGACACAACATCTCCCTCCACATCTTACAAGTCCAGTTCAAAAGCAAACGCCACAACCATCCTCTTTGCTTCATCAGGTAACCAGATACTGGTTTTGGAAAAACTTGCTCAAGGTATTACTCGCATCAGGCTCTTTTGCAGCAGCAGCAACAACAGCAGCTTTCTCCTCTAAGTACGCAATCTCCTACAACGCCGGTACCTGGACTATCAGCACCTGTCTCACAAGCACAGTCTCCCGCCCAGCCTCTGCAGCAGCAGCCGCAAGTAACAGCAGCTTCCAAAGACGCTGGTTTGTTTTTCCTCTCGTCATGTTTGTTTTCGAAATTAATTGTGTTTTGCAGTGCCCCAACCTGATGCGATTCAAACAAGGACTGTGGAGCAGCAGAGTCCACTTGCAGCTAAACTTGCAGACGATAACACGACTGAAGCCAATGTACCATTCCCCAGAAATTTATCTCTGAGCGAAGATGACTTGAAGAATGCAGACACCTTCGACGTTCCAGTAAACTTTCTGTTCATAGGCTGTTTGGATTGACTATTGTACACTTTGATCGCAGGTTGGTGGCCCAGGAACGCTAGCGGAACTTAGCCAGTTGTCGAGGGATGCAGATTTCACGCCAGGGCAACAAGTCCCGTCAACACCAACATCATCAGTACCTGGTGTGATCGGTCGGAAGAGCAACACGGAACTTGGAGCCATAGGAGACAACCTCTCAGCTGCAAGTAGCAGTATGGCTCACGATAGTGTGTACAATTTGCAGATGCTAGAAGCTGCTTATCGCCACCTTCCGCTTCCAAAAGACTCAGAACGGCCACGCAACTACACCCCGGTAATATTTGCAGCAATCCCGCATCAGTTCACTTTCATTTTTGTGCAGAGGAACCCAGCTATCACTCCGCCTAGCTATCCTCAAGCACCAGCCCAATCCATCATCGACAACCCTGCGCTTTGGGAGAAGTTTGAGGTGGACGTCCTGTTCTATGCATTCTACTATCATCAGGTGTGCTCTCTTTTACATTCTGTTCTGTACAAATTACCACGGGTTTTGTTCAGGGAACGTACCAGCAGTATCTAGCCGCAAGGGAGCTAAAGAAACATTCGTGGAGATATCACAAGAAGTACAACACATGGTTCCAGCGCCACGAGGAGCCGAAAGTCACAACAGACGAATTCGAGCAAGGCACATACGTTTACTTCGACTTCCACATCGTGGATGATATTCAGCAAGGCTGGTAAGTTCGTGCTTGTAAAAATACGTTTTTTCTTGACATTCTTGGTGGCTCGCAGGGTCCAGAGAATCAAGACCGAGTTTACATTCGAATACAGCTTCCTCGAAGACGAGCTGGTGTAAAGTTTTATGTTTAATTTCACGCTAACTCCATGGCGCTCTAGGGTTCTTACGTTTACACAGGAATGCTTCGCACAGGCTCTGGCTGCACAGACTAAAGGTAAGTGCTTTCTCAAAATTCGTTTTTGGTTATCTCTCATGGTGGTTTTCAGGGACTCATGGATTCCGACCAAGAAAACAGCTCTAGTGGCCCCTCGGGGAGCCTGTTGGAGAGCCTTGGAGCGGAGCTGGTGTCCATCCTTGCTCCAGTCTCGGCGTGCATGCTCTTTGTCGTCCTTCTGGTAAGAGCCCTCGTCGTTAACAGCAGCCAGCTCCAAGCTCCCGCCATAGCCCTCGTTATCTATGCCGAGGACCCCTCCGACTCCACCTCCGAGAAGCTCGGAGGTGCTCTCCTCAACGCCCTCGTCTTTGTAGCATTCGTCACAGCCGCTACGTTTTTGCTTGTGGGTCTCTTCTATCTTCGCTGCACCAAGTGTCTCAGGCTCTATGTTTCCTTTTCGATCTTCAATGTCCTCGTCTACCTTGGTGCTGCTCTCGGTGTGCTCTTTGTCCAGACTTACTCCCTCCCGGTTGACGTGATCACCTTCTCGGTAGTGATCTTTAACTTTGGAGTGGTCGGGGTGCTTGTGGCGTTTCCTGTGATGCCTGTCCCGATCATCTTCACTCAGGGGTACTTGGTCCTCATTGGTATGCTCACCGCTTTCTGGTTTACCTTCCTTCCCGAGTGGACTACCTGGTTCCTTTTGGTGGCTATGGCGTTGTATGACATTGCTGCGGTCTTGCTGCCTGGTGGTCCTCTCAACATGCTTCTAGAGCTGGCCAGCAAGAGAGAAGAGGAGCTACCAGCGCTGGTATACGAGTCCCGCCCCGTGGTGCGTCCCGGCCAGCAAGGCTCCCAGTCAAGACGGTGGAGGAGACGAGTTGTGGTAGCAGCGTCTCCAAGTACCTCAGCCGAGACAGCTCCGTCGAGAACATCGCTCTTTGCAAGGATCTTCGGCTACAGGGTGGTCAGCCCGTATCAGACTGTTAGCATGGAAGCACCTCAGCAAGCAGAGATTTTGCAAGCTCCAGAAGAAGAGGCAGTCGAAACAAGTCCTGGAGAGGCTGGGGATGGAGCTGGAGCTCCAGGGAACAGGGACAGGGATCCAGCGGAAGAAGCCATTCCTCTGATGAGCAGGCACGTAGATCACAGGATGGAAACACTCAGTGCTTTCATGGCAAACGAGGAGAGAGCCGCGGGGGCTATACACGACGAACTTCGCGAGCTTAACAACGATGGCAGTGAGGGTGGCGAGCTCGGAAGGATCGAGTCCGTGACAGAGGGTGGGATCAAGCTGGGACTCGGCGACTTTATATTCTATAGCGTGCTGGTTGGACGAGCAGCGATGTTTGATCTCATGACCGTGTGGGCCTGCTACTTGGCCATCGTTGCAGGGCTTGGTGCCACTTTGGCGCTCCTCGCAGTGTGGAGGCGCGCTCTTCCGGCACTGCCTATATCCATCTCGCTGGGCGTCGTTTTTTATTTCCTCACGAGGCTTGTATTGGAGCCATATGTTTTGCAGCTAGACACTCGCCTTGTGTTTTTTTAACTTATTATTAATCCTATAAACTCACTGAAATAAAAAAAGGAATGTGAAAATGTTTCCCCAAAATAACAGAAATCTAACTACTATAGTAATTAATTTATTGTTAACGTTTGCATTACTAATGGTTAAAGAGGCATTTAGTTTATCTCCTGCAGATTTATTTGTATACAAAACTTATGGGGACTTACACATGGCTAGAGAAACCTCCATGGCTGAGTTGTTAGTTTCCTTACGAAGAAATTTGTGGAATAGATTTCCATATTCAATTGATGGAGCTTTTGGAACCACTCCAGTTGGTTCATCTCATGCATACCAAGTTTGGGTTAAAGATAGTGGTCCTTTCATAATAAAGTTTTGGGTTTTTGGCCCCATGAGTGACATGGGTTATGAATGTGGATATGATCCTAATAATCTACCTCTTATTTATAATTATATTATTTCAAGTACCATAGAAGGGTTCATATATATGACTTGGAAAGAAATAGTGACAAATGGTGCTTCTTATTTTTCTGGTGTGATTGATAATTTGGGAGTTCAGTTTTCACTACGGGATTATGATGGCTATCATCACAGACCATATGGATTAACCCATCAGAATAAATCATCTAATACATTTGGCATAATTACTTTAGAAAATATACATGAGTATTTAAAAAATCAGACAGAGCTACAAGAGAAAACTTGTAATCCTTTCACAAGTATTCTCTCAAGTTCATACTATAGAGCACCAAATGAATACCTGGCTGAAGGAAAACTTTTGCAGGCTCAAGATAAGCAAATTTTCTTTATTGTTTTGACAGATTGCAAACTTGTATTGGTTATGAATGGACATGTATACATTATTTATGATCCTAAATTAGGAGTTCATTATACCTTTTGTGAGCTTCATATGCAACAAGATGGAAATTTAGTTTTATATAGTTCTACAATGTACCCTTATTGGAGCACTGCTACAAATTGTGAGCCAAGTAAAAGTTGTCAAGCTCCATCTTATTTAATTCTTCAAAATGATTGTAACTTAGTTTTATATAGACATGGTGATCCACCATTATCAATATGGGATTCTAAGACAAATTGTAAATATTTCCAATAAGAAATTTTTATATTCATTAATTATTATTATTTATTTTATTAAATGGTTGATATATTAAACAAGTAATATGTATTAAATGGTAAAATAAATTCTGGTTGATCTATGGATTAGATGCCTTCTGGTTTACTTTCTTATCCCATTTGATAACAAGGGAAGCTCTCACCACTAGTATACAAGTTATAGTGGGTTCCCAATCAAGTGTGGTAGTAACATCTCCAAGTACCTTAGCCAAGGGAACTCTGTCAAGAAGCTCACTTTTTGCAAGGTCAAGGTGTAAACCCAACACAAACTCTCAGTATGGAACCTCCTTGGCAAGCAGAGGCAGTGATATCACCAGAGACAAGTTCCAGAAGAGACTGGGAATGGAGGTGGAGCTTCAGGGATCAGGGACAGAACTCAAGAGGAAGAATTGCTCTCTCCTTGTTGCCTGCTCAATAGGCACTATACACAATGAACTGCACGAGCTTAACAATAATGGCAGCAAGGGTGGCAAGCTTGGGAAGACAACATGTAACTTTATATTCTATAGATGGTTGGATGAGTAGCAATGTTTGATCTCATGATTGTGTGGGTCTGTTACTTGGTCATTGTTGCTGGGCCTAGTGCCACTTGGTGCTCCTTGCAGTGTGGAGTGGTGTTGTGTATTATTTCCTCACAAGGCTTGTTTTGGTGCCATTTTCTTACAGCTAGACACTTGTCTCATGTTTGTATTTAATTTTTAATTTTAATTTATCTTATTATACTCATCTATATAACCGGGCAAAATATCAAAAATATATGAAAATGTTTCATTTGATATTCCAAGATTTAATAATTGAGTTGTTATTGCTAATCTTTGGAATACTAATAGTTAAAGAGGCACTTAGTTTATCTCCTGCAGATTTACTTGTATACAAAAATTATGGGGACTTACACATGGCTAGAGAGACCTCCATGGCTGAGTTGCTAGTCTCCTTACGAAGAAATTTGTGGAATAGATTTCCATATTCAATCGATGGAGCTTTGGAAACCACTCCAGTTGGTTCATCTCATGCATACCAAATTTGGGTTAAAGATAGTGGTCCTTTCATAGTAAAGTTTTGGGTATTTGGCCCCATGAGTGACATGGGTTATGAATGTGGATATGATCCTAATAATCTACCTCTTATTTATAATTATATTATTTCAAGTACCATAGAAGGGTTCATATACATGACTTGGAAAGAAATAGTGACAAATGGTGCTTCTTATTTTTCTGGTGTGATTGATAATTTGGGAGTTCAGTTTTCACTACGGGATTATGATGGCTATCGTCACAGACCATATGGATTAACCCATCAGAATAAATCATCTAACACATTTGGCATAATTACTTTAGAAAATATACATGAGTATTTAAAAAATCAGACAGAGCTACAAGAGAAAACTTGTAATCCTTTCACAAGTATTCTCTCAAGTTCATACTATAGAGCACCAAATGAATACCTGGCTGAAGGAAAATTTTTGCAGGCTCAAGATAAGCATATTTTCTTTATTGTTTTGACAGATTGCAAACTTGTATTGGTTATGAATGGACATGTATACATTATTTATGATCCTAAATTAGGAGTTTATTATACTTTTTGTGAGCTTCATATGCAACAAGATGGAAATTTAGTTTTATATAGTTCTACAATGTACCCTTATTGGAGCACTGCTACAAATTGTGAGCCAAGTAAAAGTTGTCAAGCTCCATCTTATTTAATTCTTCAAAATGATTGTAACTTAGTTTTATATAGACATGGTGATCCACCATTATCAACATGGGATTCTAAGACAAATTGTAAATATTTTGAGTAGATATTTATAAAATGAAGTATTTATAACTAGCATTAAGAAATTATATACTATTTAAAATATAGATAATTATTCTTAAAGAAATTTTCTTCTAAGCTCTATGATATTGGTTTTTTTTTTTGCTACATTTTTAATTTGAAGTATAAAGCTCAAATAATTAATCTGATGATTTTTATTATTTTGGTTTTAAGTTTGTAATATATATAGGTTTAATGTATCTAGGCCTATATCCCAAACATTTACATTTGTGGAGGTGAGGGGCACTACAATTTGTCCCTAGAGAGCCAAGCTTTTTAATAGTGCTTTACTTAGTGTTTGGGTTTATGTTTTTAGTTCTTATTCCTTTGTTCTTTTTCATATTAGCTTTTTGCTAAATCTAGAATTCTCACAATTGTTATGCTTAGATTTTCTTTTCCTTTGATTTTTATTACCTCTCTTCTTCTACTATGCACACTATCATCGATCAAAAAGTGTCACTTGAGGCTATTGATGCTACTCCATTGAATTGAGTTTTTGATGCTATTCCATTAAATCGAGCTTTTGATG